AAAACAACCCTAAACACCCTTTTATAGGGGTTAAACCTAATTATAATAGGAAACCTAATCATAATAGGAAAGTTACCTAATCTAAATTGGAAACCTAATCATAATAGGAAAGTTACCTAATCAATTGGAAATCGTAAACATCAAAATTAGAAAACCGCCTTTTAAATTAACTCATAAAAATATCCGATGTCGTCGATCGGTCCACCGCTTCTAGTCACATCATCGTTTCGCCTTCCGTTTGGACACATGCCGTCCAATCGGTCCAAAAACGCACCACTAATAGAATCCGCATCAGGTTTTCGCTGTAGCACTACCCTTGTTAGTACTTCTCCTCAAAAGGGTATCTGGTATATCTACGATGAGAGGTAAGAGATGATACTGAACAGGATCTTGCTGCATGGCAATCCATGTGTCTTGAATCGTCGAATGGTGTTTCGTCACGTGTTAAGAGGATATATGCTAGGATTAAGTGGCCCGTGTCAAGATGACATGACATAGCCCACTAAAGATGATTAGAGGATAGAATTTTCAACGAGTCCTGCTCCAAGCTCACCACGCCAAATCTCTAAAAAAACATCCTAATAAGGATAGCACGAGATCCTGCCACTACTCCAGAGTTAACCCTCCAGAGACTGGAACTGGGCTGCGCATGGCCTTCCTTGCATGAGCCTTTCCAACCTGCGATAAACCTTCCAGCCTAAGCCCTTGTAGCGTGCTTGGAAATGTGAAATATATTATCATGAAAGAATTACGAATCTACACGTGTCATTGAGTTAGCCTGGATGAGCTGGTGCACGACTGATGAGACGGTAGAAAGCAGCGGAGGGGCGAATGAAAGACGAATTACAATGTCTCTTCTCTGTTTTGAGAAGGCAGCACAAATGAAGTACTCCTTGAATGTAGCTGAACTGTTATGCTGAAAATGGAAGGCATACTAGTTACTGCTTGTCTTAGCGTACTGTGCTTATAAGTGTACGCATGTTTTTTTTTTGGTAAGGAAATAAGTGTACGCATGTTGAAGACCATGTGATCCGAAAAATGTATATCGAGTACCACAAACCCTTCCAACTCCTGTACTTTTATCACGTTGAACTCTTTGGATCTTCTCAACTTCTAATTGCATTACAGACCAAAACAAAAAAAAACTTCTAATTGCATTCTAGAGTAAGCAGAGCCCAATCAGATTAAAGTTGCCCCTCCTCTCATTTCATGAGAAGGAATCCTCAAATGGTTTCCCCATTCCAAGTAATCTCGTTGCTTGAAAGGAGATTCCTTGGTAATTAATTGAATTGCCAAACATTTTGGTCTTCAACGAGAGAATACTTCTCATTGGCGACGGCGAAGTTTGACGAATAGCAACCAATGGCTGACAATTGACGGTGGAGTCCGTGGTCGATGACCGGCGGTAGAGGCGACCGGCAACCGGTGGTGGTATGGAGCTTTTTGATAATGGGAATTGGAATGCCTTGAAGGAATCCGATTCACATGAAATCAAACGAGGCCTACACGTTTGGGAAAACTTTCCCTCCTCTAGGCAATTGATGTTTGGCAATTTTTTTGGATAGTTTGAGAAGATGCAATTGCATTTCCAAAAGGTCGTGCTTTTTCCATTGCCCTTTTGACTAAAACACTCCTTAACGTGATAATTTGACTATATTGTCTTTTGTGGTCCCACTTTTTAGCATTTCTCTTTTGCTGATATTTTAAGAAAGTGTTGTAACATTTTTATTCATTGTGTCCCTTTTCTTTTATTTATTTTCTATTTTTTGTGGGTTTCACGTTCATTTTCCTTGTCTTCTTCCTTCTCTACATTTCTCTCATGTAACCACTCACAACAATAAAAAGGTAGAAAAATGGAGACTTCCATGCTTGTGTAGGCAGAGGCAACTGAACTAGTTTTCATGACCCACGACAATACCTGCTCTAGCCACCTAAGTGAAGGCTTTGCGCTACATGTCTTATGTCTTATGATATCAAGGGGATGGTGTTCACGAAGAGTGGCGCATACTGGTGGGGTATGAGGAGGTTGTGCACTCTGCATTTGATGAGGTTGGTGAAGATGCAGTAGTTCGCGCCGATGAGGAGGACGAGCTGGGAAGAGTGATAGGGAGGATGAGGGCATACTCTCCACAATCTAAAATACTTCATTGAAAAACCCTTCTACGCACAAAAGCAGCGTTGCTCACAATCAATTTCTCCTCATCTAACCGTTGAAAATATCCATTGACCAATTTGTAAATTTCCTCGCAAAGAGCATGAATTACATTGAGGTTAAGCGAATAAAATCGGTAGCAGAGACGGAGGTGGTCAAAGAGGAGGAGAGCTTCATCGATGTCTCGGTGGTGGGTTGATGTGGCCCTGCCTAGGATATGCGAGCACTTTTGACCTTCATAATTCTCTATTTCTCTGCCTCTTGAGAGAACAGAGTTTGACAAAAAAAACGAAGAGAACATAAAGGAGAAAAAAAATTAAGAAAAGTGGATGTGGAACCCACAATAAAAGAAATAGGAAATCAATTTTAAAAAGGGACAAATGGATGCTAAAAAGTGAGTCCCACAAATGGCAATATTACATAACATTATGTGAAGGAGTGTTTTAGTCATAAATGAAGTGGAAAAAGCGTAACCCTTTCCAAATACCTAAAACCTAAAGTAGGTCCGGAGGAGTTTTGGGTTTTAAGCATTTCCGAAATCCTAATACATTCTTTTTCTTCAAACTTTGCCCTCACTAAACTTTCATAATTCCAACAATGCCCTCACCTTGCGCAACATCATCGGCGGCCTGATTTGGCCAGATTTGTCATTGGCGGTTCTTGCCTTGGTTCACGCAACCCTAGGCTGCGTTGCGTCACCCCAAGCAACCATGACTTGGGGTTGCACAACCCCAGCAACCCTAGGAGAGGGCCGCCGATGCCAAATCTAGCTTACTAGCGGCCTGCTTATTGCCTGAGCCCTTTACCTGTTTGAGCTTTAAAAAAAAAATAGCAAAAGTCTTTTACAAAACACCACTTAAACCAAAATTGCTTCCTAATGCACCATAAAATTACAATTTACCAAACACTATTTGCATTTCGAAAAACCTCTAAAACTAAAATCTTTTGCATTTTCCTAAAAAATTTGCCCAAAATCCCAATCGAATGCAACCTTTTTTCTAAATTTCCAACAATTGCAAGGTCTAAAAGCATAGTAGAGTGAAAGAATGACCAACAACTAGGGGTGATCAGTTCTAGGGTGGGCTGATTCCCACACTAGAACCGGGAATGGACCAGAACAGTCGGTTCCCAGTTTGTGAAACTAGGAATCGGCCCACCTGATCCTGGACTCATTTGGGAATCGGATCGCTAGTCGGCCCCGTTTGAGAGGCGTGATAAGCTAATAGAACACGAGTGATGTTAATAGAACAAGCTTGTGATAAGCTACTTTTCCTAATCCGTGCAAGATTGCAAGTGTTGTTACATAATCTAAAGCGATGTTGAAGAACAAGCTCGTGATAAGTTAAACATGATGATCTTCTCCACGAACAAAACTATAATGATCATTGAGAACCAAGTTTGAGAGGTATCGAGTTGCGAGGGAGGCGTGAGTGTTCCATGACTCAGATCGAGAGAAGTGAGAACGAGAGGCGTGAGCGATGAGCGTGCGTGACTAAGTCTGAACAAGAAAAAAATGTGAATTAGGGTTTCATAAATTTGGAATAATAAGAATAAAAAAAAAAGTTAGCCCGATTCGGATGATTTGAGTGGGTGAGTCCACACCTGAAAGGAGCAACAAAACCAATATTTGCCGGTTTCAAATTTTAGAAATCGGGAACCGCCTAAAACCGGCCGAATTGATCCGGTTGGTTTGCTGATCCCTAACAACAACCGCCACTCAAGGCGCATCTTGTACATTTAAAATATGATTATGGGTCAAGAGGTATTTCTATGTCTAGCGGCTCTTCACTGCTAATTTGGGTCAATTAGATCCATGGAAATATTTCCACTTAGTATATTTCATGTTACCTTTGGATGAGTTCAATAGCCCCAGACCAAGCACTCGTACGGCCAACCGGCTTATTGAAAAAACTTTGTGCACCACCAGGTTGCTTTCAACTAGCTCGTCACCATAACACGCCTCATCAATCATTCAGCTGATGCCAAAGACTACTTATATGTCTAATTAAGCAGAGTCGGGTCTCATAATCTATCGTATCATGATGGGTTTCAGAAAAGCTTCCTGTACACGGTTCGAGCTTAGCCTCAAGTAACCTCGAGGTGGTTTGAGCTCGACTCAATTACACTCGAGTATGAAAAAGTGAAATCTACATTGCAATATTAATCGGTCGCTTAAACTCGAGAGCTATCCAAATCGACAGTCAATGTGTTTAACTCGGGTCAATTAGTGCTGAACTTGGTGACAAGTAGGGCCGTCAAAAAAGCCCGGGTCGACCCGAACCGAGCCCGAAAGTTTTCGGATATTTTCGGGTCGAGCCTCAATTTTGCTTCGGGTAATAATTCCATGATATGAGTATGTAACCCGAACCGAACCGAAACACGGTACACCCACCCTACCTACCCAGTACCCAAAAGACAAAAGTATTGATGGGGAGCGAGCAAAATGGTTCGACAACGAGAGTTCGAGTCGCGCGCTGATTATTTCCGGAATTTCCTGAATATCAATAATAAAAAAATCGATGGAAAGTATAAATAATTTTCATTCTCTTTTATAACGGTGTGTTCTGAAACACCTGCCTTGTATTTTTCTGCCCCCTTCCGTTAAATATCTGGGAAAAGGAATATCTCAAGACGAGAGCAGAATAATCTCTCGATTTTACGCAAAGCCGGCGAAAATTTCAGGCGAATTATTTAATTTCTCCGGCCCACCAAATCGACCATGTTCTCGTCTCCCTGGAATTTTTCCTTTCCTCCCCCATTTTCCCTCTCCCTAAACACACCAAACTTCACACAGAAAGAGAGAGAGAGAGAGAGAGAGAGGCGTCAAGTGTCTGTACGTGCTCGCTCCGAATCACTCCTGCTTGGACTCTCTCGCTCTCTCGCACTCGCACGAACGGACGACGAAGAAGAAGAAGGAGACGACGAAGACGGCGACGAAGGAGGAGAAGAATCTGAGAGGCCGCGTTTCGATTCGTCATCGCTCGCGTCATTCTCTTCCGGCGACGGCGCATTCTCTCCGCCTCCGGCTCCGCCATTGATTTCGTCGCTCTGACCTCCGAGGCGGAACCTCGCTCCTTCTCCAGCTCCCGGTGATCGGTTCGTCCACTCTCTCCTCCCGTTTTTTCCTTGATTGGAAACTCGAGCATCGGATTGTCGCGTGCGCTTGTCCGCGTTGAAATTCGCGAAACGGCTTGTTTTGTGGCTGCGGTCGATTCGATTGGGATTGTTGCATGAGGTTTTTCGAAGATGTGCATGCGTATCGATGGACCGTGTGCTTACGTGTGCAAGCACCCGCGTGTACGATCGAAATGATTGTGTCCTCACCTTTTTTTAGCTTTAGGACCTGGTTGCTGTGCTTTGTTTGGTGATTTTTTTTTTTCTTTCTAGCGATGTCGATTGTTTGTCCAGGTGTTTGATGGAAGGCAATGAGAGGATATGAAATGCGCTGCTGAGCTTGCCTCGTGTTCTCCTTTTGTTCTGTGAAGAAGAGCGTCGTTGCTGAAAGGACCTGGGGAAAGATGGATATCGGATGTAGTCTGCGGCAGTCGAATGCTCTTACCTGTGGAGAGGGCACAGGTCGCAAGGCTATGGAACTTGCTAATCCTAATCCGAGGTTTAGATATAGAAGTTTCGGTTTTAGTCAGTTTAAGAGTGTGAATAGCTACAGACCGATGTGCGCTAACAGGAGCGTGAAACAAATGGTTGTTCGTAATGGCTGTTGTAATTCGGCCGGGGGATATAAGCCGGAGTTGGACAACTATTTGTGTGGTTCATATGTTAACAGGTTCCCTGTTTTTAAGGTCGGTAATGTTTTCAAGTCATCTAGAAGGCTTAGATTTCAATGTCAGAATAATGATTCCTTAGCATGTGTTAATGGAAATGGCCGAAATGTAGAGTTCATAGAGAGTACTGAAAGCTCGGAACTAATTGATGTTTCCGATACTGATGATTCGAGAGGAGGAGGAAGAGAAGAAAAGGATGATCGGGAGCCACCTAGTCTTGAGGAACTGAGGGAATTGTTGCAAAAGGCATCGAAAGAATTGGAGGTTGCAAGGATTAACAGCACTGTGTTTGAAGAGAAGGCTCAGCGGATATCGGAAACTGCCATAGCTTTGAAGGATGAAGCTCAGAAAGCCTGGAACAATGTCAATAGTACAGTGAATACCATACAAGATGCCGTAAATGAAGAATGTGTTGCCAAAGAGGCTGTTCAAAAGGCAACAATGGCTCTTTCATTGGCCGAAGCAAGGCTGCAGGTTGCATTGGAATCGCTAGAACTCGCAAAAGAAGAGAACGGTACTCTTGGTACTGCAAGTGATGCGGACGAAATCTCTAATGATGAGGAAGAAGCATTATTGGTTGCTCAAGAAGACGTAAGAGATTGTCAGGCAAATTTAGCCAATTGCGATGCTGAGTTGAAGCGGCTGCAGAACAAGAAGGAAGAACTGCAGAAGGAAGTGGACAGACTGGATGAGGCTGCAGAGAATGCTCAGATGGATGCTTTGAAGGCAGAGGAGGATGTGGCGAACATAATGCTTTTAGCAGAGCAAGCTGTTGCTTTTGAACTTGAAGCTGCACAACGTGTAAATGACGCTGAGATTGCTTTAAAAAGGGCAGAGAAGTCTATATCTAGTACTTATGTTGATATTCCAGAGATGACTGGTGGGAAAATGACCGACGAGAAGATGCTTGAGGAAGAGAATACGATTCGAGCCATTGGTAGCACTGCTAGTTCTGAACGAGAGAGAGATGTCGTCGTTGGTGGTGATCGGTTAGCTGGTGCGCATTTACTGGATCAGCAGGCTGATAGAATTGAGATATATGAAGAGCCTGAGGATTTGGATGATCAAGAAAATGGTAAGCTTGTATTAGATTCTGCAAGAGAAGCTGAGGTAGATGCAGACAAATCGAAGTTTCCAGTTCAAGCAAAGAAGCAAGATGCACAAGACTTGAGGGAGAGCTCTCCCTTAGGAGCTCCAAAGGCACTATTGAAGAAATCTTCTCGTTTCTTTTCTGCATCGTTCTTCTCTTTTACTGTAGATGGGACTGAATTCACACCAGCATCAGTTTTCCAGGGACTCTTGCAGACTGCAAAGGAGCAATGGCCCAAGCTGGTACTGGGGATAATGCTTTTTGGGGCAGGGTATGCATTAGTGTTACTTCTTGACTCATCTTATCATTTAGTACTCTTTAACTCTCATCCTTGGCAAACTTTTTTACAGTCTTTGCTCTTTATGTCATCTGGTTGTTGAGATTTAAGAGACGGCTATAGACTGAGTTTTGAAAGTGATGGTTCATTGTTTGAAGTTGTCCGTTCAAGTTGGATCTAGATTGTTAGGATGATACCGCTCAAGACCGTTTGCTTTTATATTTTGTAACTTCTTCCGAGAAGACCTATGATCTTTTTGTCTAGATAATTCAATCACGATTCAGACATCAAGTTTTGCATCTCATTATCTAGATGCTGTGACTTGTACAGGGCCACTATTTTAGCCCGACGAGCTGAGAGAGCTGATCAAATGCTTCAACAGTCGCAAGTCGTTAGTGCCAGTGTAGAAGAAGTTTCCTCTAACGCCAAACCTCTGGTCCGCCAATTGAGGAAAATTCCTAAAAGAGTAAAAAAGCTAATGGCCATGCTTCCTCAGCAAGAGGTTGTGCATTAAATTTATATACTTCATTAGTTTATTTTTTCCTTCCCAAGTTAACAGTTTGTGAACATATGATCACGTGCTCAACTTGCAGGTAAATGAGGAAGAAGCTTCTCTCTTTGATATGCTGGCATTGCTTCTAGCAAGTGTTATTTTCGTTCCTGTTTTCCAAAAGATTCCTGGAGGTAACAACTCCATTAATTTTTCCTTCCCTTTGCTCAAACAAGCTTTCGTATATTAGTACAGTCCCACAAATGATGTGTGCTTTTTTGTATGTTTTAAAATGTTATAAGTTGTTGTCTTCTGTTTGTCTCTAAGTGTTTGAGCGTGCTATTTCTTCAACATGTCAGGCCCTTTTTTCTCAGTTTTTGGTTTCCTTGTTGGCAATCATTTGTATTTGATGGTTCAATCCAATTAGTATATCATAACGTAGATAGAGCTGCACTAAACTTTCTAGTGACAAAAATGTGCTTCACAAGCTAACTCCTTATGCAAATAATTTACTGTGTATCAACATCCTTCCACGTTCCTTGTAGTTCCCCGTTTTTGTTTATTACTTCTTAAGTTCCCCATTTCATGTGCAAAATCTCAGAAGCATGTGTATATGCTACCTGTTGGCCTTCTGTCATGTTTAGGCAGTCCTGTCCTGGGGTACTTGGCTGCTGGTATTCTGATTGGACCTTATGGACTCTCAATTATTCGGCATGTACATGGGACAAAGGCAATTGCAGAATTTGGAGTGGTTTTCTTGTTATTCAACATTGGCCTTGAGGTGAAAGTGATGATTGCTGTTTGATTTTTTCCAATTTTTTGCATCAGAGTACTTAAGCTTTGATCTGCATTTTCAGCTTTCTGTTGAAAGACTTAGTTCTATGAAGAAGTATGTCTTCGGATTAGGAACTGCTCAGGTGATTGGAGACCTCATATTTTTTAATCCTTTTTGAATTTGCTGGCATTGTCTCGTGCCATTGGATATATAATTTTCTAATCCTACGTGCGAATGCACCTGATGATCACAGGTTTTAGCAACAGCTGTGGCTGTTGGCTTGGTTGCTCATTATGTATGTGGGCTGCCTGGTCCTGCTGCTATCGTCATTGGGAATGGCCTGGCTTTATCTTCCACAGCTGTCGTCCTGCAGGTACATAGCAAATCTCACTTTACCATGTAGTGTCAGTGCTTCCTTCTTAACATATAAGAATAAGCAAGTAGCAAAATAAATCGGTATATTCAGTTTCCTGGGATTACCTATGTGGCCTCAGGTCATTATCTTCTGAGGAAACTTAAATAGTGAGCTCATATGGATTCGCGAATCTTCCATCTCCTGTGATAATGTGCATTGGATTAGTGAGATGATGTTTTGGAATAAAAGTACTGGCAACATCTGCCTTCTTGTTGTGAGAACAATTTTCTCTAGAACTCAACCTGTATTCATTCTAACTTTCAAACACAACAGGAGGTTTATATTTGATGTCCTCTTGATGGATATTTTCATGGAAATTATACACAGGTCCTGCAGGAACGAGGTGAGAGCACATCACGTCATGGACGCGCAACATTTTCTGTCCTACTTTTCCAGGTTTGCAATTTTCTTGATAAATATTTCTCCACTAGATTTAGAACCTAAGGCTTTCTCCATCAGCTCTGTCACATCTTTCAAAAATTTTGATGATAGAGATTCTGTAGGGAGAATTGTCTTAAGACGAAGATAGGTATATCACGAGAGGTAGAATGTGTTTCTGTATGCATCTAACTAGATTGACAAGTTCTCCTTGTACATCTGTCTTCCTTAGGTGCCATGATATGGTGACATTTTTTTAGTGTTATGGTTAGTTTGACATTTACCCTACGAGTTCAAGGGAACTTTGTTGGCTTGTAAATGACGAAATACTCCAAGAACATGTCAAATTTCATGGCCAGTGCTTTTAGTTAACTGTAACACCATGCATATTTCAAATTATCCTATGTAAACGTTAACATGCCTGGATACAGTTAAATACAGGAACTCATCCATTGTTAACTTCTTGCTATGTTCTTTTTCGGTTCTTGAACAATTCTTGACATTGGTCTTTCATTTGCTTCCAGGATTTGGCTGTGGTGGTATTGCTTATACTCATACCTCTTATCTCACCGAATTCATCCAAAGGAGGGGTAAATTGTTCTATTTTTTCCCATGGTCCTCATCTTTGGTTTTTCTTTATTGTATAATGCAAGTCATACACCTCTTCCAGAAGTAATTTTAAATTTTGAACTTGACCAGTATTTAGTTTTCACCAGAATGTCTAGTTGTTCTTAGTCACTAAGAATCATGTTGTCATGCCAAGTTAGATTGGCGTCCAAGCCATTGCCGAGGCCCTGGGTTTAGCTGCAGTTAAGGCTATTGTTGCCATCACTGCTATTATTGCCGGTGGACGCCTGGTAAGTTCTCATAAATCGATTGAATGATATTTGACTGATTAACTGTTGGACGCCTGGTAAAATGCGTATTATCTGCTTAGGGAACAAGGGCAATCTGAGTGGTAAAGATCTAACTTGGATTAATTGCACAATATTTTCATTCAAATGCATGAAGCTTTCTTAGGCACTTCAGATGTCAATTCGTGTTTCTTTTTTGCATCCATAGCTGCTGGCGTTCTGTGATCATGACCTTGTCAATTAAAAGGATTTTGGTGCATGATCAAGCTCATATTAATAGTTATGCTGGATGCTCAGACTGAGATAGTACACCAGAGATATTCTTTGCTTAATGTCATGTCCTGAGGAATCTGAACTAGTTGATGTATCTTGGTGAATGTTGCTCGAGTTCTGTTTCAAATGGTGTCGTGCTTAATTGTTCTAGTCACAATGAAGTTCAGGCATGTGGGGTTTTTTCTTGTTTGTATGATTTGTCTCTTTTAAGTACATGTGAATATTTAAATGTACAAATAGCAGAAAGAGAACAGGCAGTTATTGGCCTGCGTGCTCGTGTGTTCAGAGTGTTCTTATGTGCTTCTGCTTTTCACAATTGTTGACTTGTGCTCAGCCTTAGTTTCATTCTATTTCTGCAGCTTCTGCGACCAATTTATAAGCAAATTGCAGAAAATCAAAATGCAGAGATATTCTCAGCCAACACCCTCCTTGTTATTTTGGGAACTAGTCTTCTTACAGCCAGAGTATTGTCTCTTTCCACATCCAGTGCACATATAATTTTTCAAATGATACTTAGCGTCGCAGTAGTAATTCTTTCCCAATAAATATTGCAACAGGCTGGTCTTTCCATGGCATTAGGCGCCTTTTTAGCAGGCTTGCTGCTTGCAGAAACTGAATTTTCTCTCCAGGTTGAATCAGATATTGCTCCATATCGCGGCCTGCTGTTAGGCCTATTCTTCATGACGGTATTTTTTCTGTCATTTGTCTATTCTCTTTTCCATTTTTATATGAACTTCATATCTGTTGCTACAAAAATAGTTGATGCCTTACAGTAAATCGATAATCAGTTAAATTCTCCTTACATGAAAAGCTATGCTCATTCATGTTGTCTTTCTTCTCTTTAATGATTGCTTCGTGAAATCATGTAACATCTGAACTCGAGAAGTAATGAGAGAAAAGTTGCATTCCTCTTCAAGGGGGATATTTTTAATTCTAGTGGACCATCAGCTATGACTGGAACTTGCTTGTAATGATGACCATTTGGTGGGTGTCCAGGTTGGAATGTCAATCGATCCAAAGCTTCTAGTTTCAAACTTTCCAGTCATAACAGGGGCACTGGCACTACTAATTGTCGGCAAGACTATTTTGGTTATGTTGGTTGGCCGGCTTTTTGGGATCTCGATAATCTCTGCAGTAAGAGTGGGCCTTCTTCTCGCTCCTGGTGGGGAGTTCGCATTTGTGGCTTTTGGTGAAGCGGTTAATCAGGTATGTCAACTTATAAGTCAGAAACTTTTGACCCGTATTCTTGTCATTGATTATTGGACAAGAGCTGAATTGCCGTCCTGTGTTATTGGCAACTTTAGCAGTTAACAGTTGGCATCTTCATACTTTCATGTTGCTTTTTAGGCATTAGAGTTTCCAACATTTGTCAGTGCTTTTACTCTGAATTTTGTCCAGGCAATTATGTCTCCTCAGCTGTCATCTCTGTTGTTTCTTGTGGTGGGAATTTCAATGGCCATTACTCCATGGCTAGCTGCTGGAGGCCAGTTACTTGCCTCTCGTTTTGAGCAGCATGATGTCCGAAGTCTATTACCTGTTGAGAGTGAGGTAATGTGCTTTAGTTTCAGTGTCTATTTCTTATGTGGATAGCTTAATAATGATATCATACTCGTAGCACAGCCATTTCTACTGTCTGTCTGCAATAACTCATTCTCAATTGACGACAAAGAGGTCTATAAGTCCTGTGGGTTTGGGCACCACAGTTGAAAGGTTTAATGATAATATCTTGGGTATGAAAGATTTGGGGGAAGTTTAGGTGTCCTTGTTCGATCCTAGGTCTAGGTTTAGCAGTCCCAGCCACTGAGAAAACTATTGATATGGTATACTTGGAGAATGGAGCGTCGTTGCTCTGGACGTGCAAGTCTAGGTGTTGAAGATAAAACTGAAATTCTTGCATGAGAAACAAGCTATAATAGTTCAACATGCATAATTTACTGACATTAGATCCTCAGGGAGATTCAAAGTAGATTCCATGTCACCGTCATCATCTGGTGATATCATAGACATGGACCGAGTCAGAAAAACACAGAAATGAGATGAAAACATTATTTAATAATCTCAGTTTTGCTAGATTGCAAATGATGGATCCGTATGCTATATTCATGGTCCTTATATAAGTTTAAATTGCATTTTCATCACAACAGTGATTCATACTAACAAACCCACATTTGCTTTGGCATGATCACAACAGACCGATGATTTGCAAGATCATATCATCATTTGTGGATTTGGACGTGTTGGCCAGGTATTGCAATTTAAAATTGGAATATAGTCCACAGTAGGACACATTTGGAAATTGTCAATGTTCATATTTACATAACTGTTTACATTGCTCCCAGATCATTGCTCAGCTTCTTTCAGAACGACTAATCCCATTTGTTGCACTTGACGTAAGGAGGTAAAGAAATTGGTGACTCCTCTTACATTGACTGATTTTATATGTTAAGTTCAGTTTTTGGCATTATGCAGCTTCAGAGTTTTCCTTGTGCAAGAACTGAGAAACCAAGTTGTTTATAGTCATAGTACCTTTTTGGTCTAGTAATATATATGTGTTGTTAACTAAACTTGTCAATATCGACTTAATTATGATTACAGCGACAGAGTAGCAGTTGGTCGTGCCCTGGACCTTCCTGTGTTCTTTGGAGATGCGGGCAGCCGAGAGGTGATAAGTGACATTGCTAGAAGTGTGTTCAATTTTGTTATGTGTTAATCCTTACAAGCTATACTTGGTTCCCTAGGTCCTTCATAAAGTTGGGGCTGAAAGAGCATGCGCTGCAGCAATTACCTTGGACACTCCTGGTGCAAATTATAGGGCTGTTTGGGCTCTAAGCAAGTACTTCCCCAACGTAAAAACTTATGTCCGTGCTCACGATGTGGATCATGGCGTCAATTTGGAGAAAGCTGGGGCTACGGCAGTTAATATTCCTCTACTTAATTGTCCCCCCTTTTGTTTTCGTATTTGTATGTTAGTCCAATTGTAAGATCAATCAGATTAACGGCATGCTCTGATAGTTATTCAGTCTTTCATTACCTGAGTGCCTTTGCTGATTGACATCTATGCCTTGATGGTTTTGCTGCCAAAAACTCACAGGTTGTTCCAGAGACCCTGGAACCCAGTCTACAATTGGCTGCTGCTGTTCTTGCACAGGTAATTACAACGATATTACTTGACAAATACACTGTTTCTGAAGGTTGAATTCACTCTTGTTAGGGCCCTGGTACTATGTGATGGTAATTTGCATGGGGCACAAAGCTGCTTTTCTCTGATCCTGGACCTCCCAAGTCCCAATGCGATGGTACTTGGCAACAGGATAGTGATTTAAGCTTCTATAGATTATCTTGGCCAAAAAACAGATTTTGTAAACTATACTCAATGCAGCAAAAAATAATATTAGCTGGTTTCATATGCTTTGTTTGTTCCTAACTAACGTAAAGTGCCACTAGACATTCCCATCGATCTTTTAGTTCACGGGAAATCTGAAATGAGTAAGAGACCTCTGTTGCATACCTGTACATTTACTAGCTCAAGTTTAGTTGTGCCTTAAAAATAATTATTTGTTGATAAGAAAGCTATCTCATTGACTGTGTGATGCCTATCTATCTCATAACAAATTGGAATGGCCTACTGGTAATGCATTTTAGGCTGCAGCACCTGCTGGATTCCAGCCTAATTTTAGTACAGGGGCTCGCTTGGTGGCATGACCCACATTGTAACATCGAGAAAAAGAGCGCTGAAAGACTTGATTTTGCTTGTTGCATTTCTTTCATTTCCTTACCTTTCCTTGTTTAACCTTAGGCGAAACTGCCAACTTCAGAGATAGCAGCAACAATAAACGAATTCAGATCCCGCCATTTGTCTGAGCTTACTGAGGTACATAATACTTCCTCCATCTTCAGATACATATATAGTCTCAGCAAGTGCATGACAGAACTTTGGCGGCGAATGATGAAAATATTCACTGTTATATTTGCAGCTATGTGAAGCCAGTGGAAGTTCGCTGGGTTATGGATTTTCTCGAATCATGAGCCGACCCAAACCTCTTCCCTCGGATTCATCAGATGAGAATGAAGCCAGCGAAGGGACGATACCCATATAACAAACTACTAGTACAGGCCAAGCCAACCAGAACGGGCGGGGGAGGATCGAATAAATGTAAAGCAAACCGCATTGGTTTAAATTGTACAGGGTTATACAGAGTATTGAACCGGACATTTGACACCGTGATCATTCATTTGGTTCCACAAATTTTGCTAGACGTTCTCTACGATCGCCTTCGTCGCTGCGGCTTTTGTCCTGTGGCTTGAAGGCAACGCTGGATTTGCACGGGGAAAGAAACAGAGAGCTTGTAACCCTTTCATGCAGGAAATTATTGATTCACTTGCTTTTTTGTTTTTGGTAAGGAACTTGCTTTTTTGTTTGTGATCAAGGAAGAGGAACAATTAATTAGCTTTTATTTTTTAAACCACAGAGAATTTACGCCTCTGTCTCAGAGGCAAAGGGCAATGAAATTGGTCATCTCGTACAAACGATGTCCATTGAGGCAAATTCTAAGAGGGTTCTTTTGCTACGAGGAAAACTGTTTTCGGAAAATTATTTTTCGACTTTTCAGGGTTTTAATGTCGAAAAATTAATCGATTTATGAAAAATGTTTGTAGTCGATTGAAAATGACAAACTTAAATTAGGGGAAAACGATTTCCACTTCAGGCAAGAAGGAAATCGATTTCCCTATATCACTAAAAGTATTTACTAGTGACTTTTCATGGATTTCCATCCCTTCTCATAGAAAACTGGTTACCAAGCTTTTTACTTGGGTCCTCGTGAAACTTACTTCATCATGGAAAAAGTTGTTGATACAGGGAGATTTAAAGTGACTTTGGCCAAGATAAAAAAAAATTATTTAATTATGCATAAATATTGACGTGTGAAAAAATTCGATTGTAAAATTAATTCCAAGTTCGATAAAATAAAATAAAAAACACTTACTCCAAGCACACGTCACTCATCTGATGATGTTTTTTTTTGGTGGTGGATCTAATAACAACCCAATGAAGAGGTAATGCTTGTGTTTTACTTGTGTCCCTTTCAGGTTATAAAATATTATTATGCCCCAACAAAATTGGACAAGATTTCCATCTTATGTCCCCGTACCCATTTTGATCTATAGATATTTCTTTATCCCAACATAGACGAAATGCAAACTTTTGCGATCCTATGGATTTGCTTTGTGGTCCAAACCACAGTTCTAACCATCGAGAAATTATCATAATCTAGTTTAAGCTATTAATTTCAGTTATGTTTAATTTATTTCGCACTTTTGTTAATCAGTTTCTCTTTAAATAATTTTTTTCACTATTTCACACAAGTAAATTACTAACCATACGTAGATATTTACTAATCTACATTGCAAGCTATTAACCAGTTACAGCAATTACTATTTATCAACATGTTTAAGATTTTATCACATCCACAGTTACTATGCACACAATTAATAATCATAAATAGGTCAAAAGTGTGTTTTTTCTTTTACTATTTTCAAAAGTACCCTGTTTTTTTTTTTATTCTTTTTTCATGAAGAAAAGGAAAAAGAAAAAGCAGAATCCATAAACAGACTTTCCGGCACTTTGCAGCAGACACTTTCAAGTCTGCAAACCCTCTCGCCGCCGGGCACTTCAACGGCGAGAATATCACGACGGCGGTGCACGGCGGAGTATCGCGACGTGCCGCCGTAGCCTTCTTCAGCTGAAAAATCTCAAGCTGAGAAGCGAAAGCCAAAGTCGCGGCGGCCGATACACGACGACGCCGTTCGATCCTGAGGATGACTTCCATGGTGTTCAGCGAGTGCTCGACTTCGACCGCGTCTCGCTTGCTCCCCAGGAGCCTCCGCAAGGACGCCGTCGTTTTGGTCCGCAGACTGTCGCTGCCTCGCCGTTCTTGTGCCTGGATGGCCCCTCTCTCTCGCAGGACCCTCGCCGTCGGCGCTGCTGCTCCGACTTCACCACCTCCTTCTGGTTCGTCCCCATTTCCATCCTTTCCCTTTGCGTCCTCTGTTTGATTGGTGATGGATGCTTAGCTGGAGCTCTATTAGGCTTTTCTCGGGTGCTCGTGAAGCTGCGAATGTTGGGATTCGTTTTTGGTGATGGGTTTCTGCTTTCGTGTTCGCTGAGAACTGGAATCGGTGAAGAAGCTTGTTTAGCAGCTTCTGAGCTGTTGCAGTGGTTTTCGACTGGAATAAGAAGAAGAAAGTTCAAACATTTCATCATGAAAGTTTGAGTGATGTGAATTTCTAGTCACAGAAAGTAGAAAGACACGAAATGGAGCATGAACAGAAGAATTTTGCATGGATAGAATAAAAAATTTTATGCGATGTCTCTTGGATCGACTGAATGTGAGAATTTTTCTTTCCATATCATACTGCATACATATAGATTGCAATTTGTTTCCCTGAGGATGTAAACTGTGTTTGCTTTCTGTTTCATGCTTCTGTTCCGTGCATCATTATGGACAGCAATTTGAGCTCTTTTGGAGGGGGTGGTTTTTATGCATGTGGAAGATTCATATTTAAAGCGTGTCTTAATTATTTGAAGTTGATTGGGTAGTGTGCTTGTGAAGCTTCAGTGGCGATTGAGGCTTGTGCCAAAGTGATTGATGGAAAATACGTTGCAAAGCAAATCAGAGACGAGATTTCAGCTGAAGTGTCTAGAATGAAGGAGGCGATTGGGGTTGTACCTGGGTTAGCTGTGATTCTTGTCGGCGACAGGAAGGATTCTGCTACATATGTACGCAACAAGAAAAAAGCTTGCGAGTCTGTGGGGATTAACTCCTTTGAAGTGCATTTGCCTGAAGACTCGGAAGAAGAAGATGTGCTCAAGTTTATCTCAGGATTCAATGATGATCCTTCGGTTCACGGCATTCTTGTTCAGTTACCACTGCCTTCAGTATGTATCTAAATGCTCTTTCTTCCCCAATTAATTGATGTAGACTTCTCAAATTGAGTTTCTTGGGTTCAATCTTTAATCTCATGACAGGAGGATTCAATAAAAAGGTCAATTTTGATGTTCATGTAGGAGTTAGGACGACCTTTGTTTTTTATACTTAATAATTAATCTTGTTGAAAACCAACTTCAAATCATGAGGTCATTAACTGTGTAATAAAGCCCCTTGGCCCTATCTGCCTGCATATGAACTAAATGGCATCTTCTTGTTCTTTTTAGAATATTAACAACTAAATTGTTCTTCTGCCAGCATATGAATGAACAGGGTATCCTAAATGCAGTAACTCTCGAGAAAGATGTGGACGGATTTCACCCATTGAACATTGGTCGACTTGCTATGAGGGGTAGAGAGCCCTTGTTTGTGCCCTGCACTCCTAAAGGCTGCATAGAGCTATTGCATAGATATGGTATTGGTATTAAGGGAAAGAGAGCTGTCGTGATTGGCCGGAGCAATATTGTCGGGATGCCTGCTGCTTTGCTACTTCAAGTATTCTTCTATCTTGCCGAACTATGTCGCCTTCCTTGCAATTTATCTTTCTTCATCTTCCATGACATGTATGTATTTTTCTAGAGGGAAGATGCAACTATCAGTATTGTCCATTCAAGGACACAAAATCCTGAGGAGATCGTAAGAGAGGCAGATATCATAATTGCAGCTGTTGGGCAAGCGAACATGGTGAGAGGGACGTGGATCAAACCTGGTGCAGTGATTATTGATGTCGGAATCAACCCAGTTGAGGTAACTTGTAAGCTGTCATGCTTTACAAATACAAGCCGTGTGGCCCATGTCTTGTCAATTGTGCAAGGATAAGTTGCCTGAGAAACTGTTGTTGGCTTGGTCAATCTACACTGATAGCTAGATGGTAAAAGTAACTGTTAAATAGCATGGGGTGATTCTCATTATGATGAAGTTAGCCCCTAGGTCATCATACTGGAAGAGGGGTGCGTATTATGAAAAGCACCTACCACATACCATTATACTTTTACTGTTTGTGACCTTTATCTTTGGTGCTTAAACAGGATTCAAAAAGCTCTCGGGGTTACAAGCTAGTCGGAGATGTCTGCTACGAGGAGGCTTGTAAAGTTGCATCAGCCATCACTCCTGTTCCAGGAGGAGTTGGTCCGATGACGATAGCAATGCTTCTCTCTAATACTCTTACATCGGCAAAGAGGGCACACAATTTCCAATGAGTGTAGGAGATTCAAGATCCGACTCTACAATTTGGGAGACAATTGTAGAAACTGTGCAAGAGGAATAGTTATTGGTGGGGCTGCTGTTTCCAGCACGTGTCCTGACTCTACCATGCTTTGGGTGCTCTTTCATGACTCCATTCCAGTTGATCTAGTAGATAGTGAAATCAATTTTTCCTTACCGTAGTTAAGCTCTCCAAGAGAGGATTCTATCATTTGGAAATCACACAAATGATGGTACTGACGGCAGTTATGCGGTGAATTTTGAGAGAGAGAGAGAGAGAATATGATAGTGTATTTGATTCTCACTCGGTGAGCTCATCACAAGACACCTATTGTAGTGTTGTGATCATCGCCAAATTCTTTTGCTGCTAGATCCACAGAAGTACGAGTTATTCTGGTCTCTGTTTTATCCGTTCTTTATCGGTTCTGGTTCGAGGGTAAGATACATCAACAGTATGAACACCTACTTCTTATGCCAAATGTATGTTTAGACCTTGAGGTTGTGTAATCATCACTAAGGTACCTGTGAACTGTTCCTGAATGCTTCTATGCCCTCTCTCCCTTAATCTCAATGTCTATAATAGATTTTACATAGAGTGATGAATCTTGTGGGTTTTGAGTTTACCTCACTTGTTGGTCAGGATGAATAAATGACCAGGATGGTTTGAATGAGAAAACTGTTTTAGAATAATTAGGGAGAAAGATTCGATATACATCAAAATTTTATAATATGATCAACTTCACCTGTTACAGCTAGCATATGAAATTGATACATCAGTTAAATTCATTAACTGTGATGTTGTGGAAATAATGTACTAATAACGTCCGAGCGAATATGAAACAATCTGTGATTTAAGCCATTTGCCAAAAGAAATGAGTCATACATTGGGATTTCATGCTCCCTTTTGCACTGGTATGAGTTACACATACCAGTTAATTCTCATACATATGAATCGGAGTACAAATGGATATTGCCAAAGACTGTTACATGACGCTGAGCTCAAGGTTCAGCAAGGAAGAGGGCCTTGCACTGCTCCACTGTATCATCAGGACTAGTGACTGCCAAAGAACACGGAAAACTGTATAAACAACAGGATTTTGCAAAATATAAATATATAAAAAGATGGATGTATTTGTCATAAAAAGGAATTTGAAGTTTCGAAGGGTTTATGCGACATTGACTACGGCCATTTTGAGAAATGAAACAAATCCCCGGTCTATTCTGAAACTAAAATGACGGCACGATCTCATGTTTCCGGCATGTAAAAGTTTGTCACTATTCTGGAGATTTTACACCGTTTCAGAAATTTTTTGGACCCTCCTTTTATAGGTTAATGAATCTGTGTATTAAAAGTCTAGAACCATTCATCTACATCCTGCTGGATGAAAACACAATGAAATTCAGGTGTCAAAATTTCCATCAATACACAAAGCTGACCTGTATGACCCACAGTTCGCTCAGACTCGTATATCTCATGGTCGTTCCCCCCCTGCTCAAGTGAAAGAAACAGTAGTTGTCAAACAGAATGATCAAGATGATGCACCACAAAGAGGACATTTTATTTGGTTAACCACAATATGCATAATACATCTAAACTCATGCTTCCATTGGATATACAAGTAAAACTGATTAACATCGAATAACTAAAATTAAAACACTTTGAGCTATTTTGCATAAAGTCTCCTTTCTCAACTTTAAGTATACGATAATCTATATCTGCTTGTGATTCAACAGATAGGCACTTTTGAAGGAACATCGCTTTCTGACCTTTAGACACTTGAATATCATGTTTATTCTGTTGAAGCCGATATTGTGAAACAATGATATGTCTCTTACTAACAAATGGCCCCACTTTAGGGGGGCTAAAGGATATAGAGATGGAATGACAGTTGAAATGTTCAATAGCTTCAAATCCCAAACCATGGCCATGAAGATCGCACAGAGAATATGCAATCAAGGAATTAAAGACTCTCATGAATAGCACAAAAAGCACTTCAAGAGGATAAACATCAGGTTCAGGTAAAGCATTGTAAAATTTAATTTCCAATTCTAGTTATCAAATCCCTGGTATGAGCTGAACAGAATTTCTGCAATTACTTAAACCAAAATTAGCAGTATCATCAAGCATCCCTTCACACCTTTATAGTTCCAAGGACATTAATCGCTTTATGGACCAAGTAGCACTAGCTCATTGCATGCGGGCAATAATACATCTCGTAGACATAAATCATCTAAAAGCTTAGTCCTACATAGTCTAACACCACCAAGCATGTAAGATTTAGAAAGGACAGTGACATGAGATATTAATTAGCGAACAGAGAGGGATTGTTTACATTTTCCTTAGGATGAAAATACTAGGCATACCTTGTAAGTTTTGTCGCCAAAGAAGTGGATTTCCGAGAAGTCATCAAGGTATCTCAAGCAGTATGTCTTATCCCAACCTTGAGGGAAAACCTGACACAAGCATTATTTAGCTTCGCAGATTCAATAGAGTTTTTTGCGTTGTTCTCCATTAACAAGTTTGAGATTTATCCAAAAGAATCAACAAGTGGTATATTTACTTACGTCAAAACTTATTTGTCCTCCAATTGAAAATGTCAGATTAAGGTGAGCAAACTTTTCACGCAGGACAGACACCATTTTTGGACGTATGTTATGAACCTGAAACAGTACTACATGAGAGATCACATGTTGTATTGCATTATCAGAATATCCAATACCGAAATAGAGTTAGAATGTCTCACCTTGTCGTACCTTTCAAATTCATCCCTTTCTTCTTGGCTACAGTTTCTCCCAATTGGGGAGACATTAAGCATCCCATTTCGGAATTCTATAAATGTGCCCCTGAGGAAGCATTGCAGTATGAGAGTTTTGGACTTTGAGCTTAATAATGATGAAGAACTGGTAACAAGGCTCACCTTTTTATTGGGATATCCAAGTCAGCAATGTAGTGAAGAGTAAAATTAATGACCTCCTGCAAGACAATTTTCAAACAAGTTTATAGCATTTGTTATCACGCAGTTATTCTGTTCCACCTAATCTAATAAAGGATATAGACATCCAGAATTGACCTCTATAATACTCTTGCACTTAGTCACTTTAACCTTTATGTAGAAAAACATTAGAGCAAACAGAAGATCTTACCTTGAGCTTCTCTTCTCCTAAAAATGATTTCAAGCTCTGGAAGAAAGCAAAATCATGGAACTAGTCAAGGCAGTACAGGTAAGCTAAGGAATCAATCACGAATAAATACAAATTGCAATAACAATTGTGGACGGTGACATTAAGTAGAAAATTAGCTATCGAATGGTGAAATTGAAATTATAAAACTCCTAATCTCCTACTCCTTCATATATTATTGATATGAATAGAATGTGGAGCTGAGCTTTTCAGTCAGCTTGAGTGTTTAAAAGCAATCACGTACCTGCACATCAATAAGCTTCCCATCTTTGTGTGCCACAAGGCCATTCTCCGAGAACACATAATCATAGTCATTCATAACTGTATAATTGACATGACAGTAGAGATCAAGTCCATAAAACAATGCAGATTGAACCTAAGAATTCAAAACTGGTTTCATCAAGTAATGTTGAGAGATGTGACCATGTCAGCGATTTCAGGAACCAAAGTTACAAAGTGAAACCATGAAATTCAAAGCACAAGAAGGTTTGAATTATCAGATAACTCCTTCTGCAATGGATCTTACTCATCGGGAGATGCTGTTTGTATTACCATAGACCTTATCCTCACATAATAAGTGATGTTTGTCACCTGATTGAAGCTCACCGTTCCCAGAAAATCAAATACATGCTTATCCAAGATTGAGGTCTTTTTTCCGAATTTAAGCCTCTTATATCTACTAAATACTCGGGCTAGATAGAGCTCAAAATCATTCAGAATTTTAAGGATGAAAACAAAGATTCAGAATTGTGCTAGTTCAGTGAGAAAAATCTTTAATAGTATCGCAGCATCTAGCCAGAATTATAGCACTTATTCATGTATTCCAATCATGGATCCCAAGATGACTTATCTACACTACAAAGACCATAACCAAAGCAACTTAATTCAATTCACTGTTTAATTAGTTAAAAAGATGAATGGAAGGCAGGCCTGTCAAGTGAAATGAATCAGATGTATTGTCTAAGAGAAATATCTAACAGCTATGCATTTCCATGGGTAACCAACCTGTGCTTCCAAGCTGTTCCGATATCTTGGATAGGTCAGATCCCCCAACAACCCCAACTGTGACAACCTGCATTGAAATGTGTCGCAAAGGCAAGCACAAAAAAGAGCTTGTAAGGCATTTCCTTCAAGTAGGGAAGATAAACAGGAAATTTCCCGCAGAAGTAGCTAGCCAACCAAGTCATGTACCTTTCGGAGTTCCCGCATAAACTCAAACATCTTAGGAGTAACATCCTGGAATACAAGGACAAGAAAAGAGGTGATTTCGACATTAATTAACCCAGTTCATTCCAGTCTGGAAACACAGCAGCAATATCGACATGCTCAGTAAGGATAGTGATTCAAACTGCATAGCTGCAACTAGTACTTGAGAGAGAGATGGGCAAAGAAGGAACTAGGACCTTTCTTGGAGCTGTGAGAGTCCCATCGACATCAAACAAAGCAATCAAACCAGGCTTCCTCGCCGCCATTCTATTCGAGATCTCTTTCTGCCATCAAATGAAGTGAAATAGCAAAGGTTAGATACGAACTGAATCCCCTATGACGAACAAAATCATCCAAACGATGCGAGTGAGCTCCAGATCAAAAACTGCATCGGGCCGGAACCAACTTCAAATGCAAAGTGCCATCTCTGGAATGCCAATGCCATCATCCAGACAATGACCTTTACCACAATCATCGAACCCAATTCCACAGCCAGACTCCAAATCCAACACGTCGATTCAAGTGCAAGGTTCAGCCTCAGAACATCTAAGTTTTACATACGCAATTCGCCACTAGAGACTCCAGCACATCACATCAAATGCGAGCTCGGCCTCAAAGAAACTCGAAGTTCGCACGCAAATCCGTCGCGGTCCGAACTCTCCAACGCCGGTCTCCAGCTCGCGAGAACCAAAACCGGAACAGATCGCCGGTGAAGAAGAGGACGGGAAGATTTACCTCTAGCTTCAAGGAGAAGGCGGCGGGAGAGGGAGATCGGAAGGTCGACGTCCGAAGAGCGAAGTGCGATGGCGGAGACGACGCGAGCGAAGCTATGTATGCAGCTGCTTGGACCTGGAGATACGTACGGAAAGTGAAGGGGAAGGGATGGAGGAGGAGGAGGAGGAAGGAAGGAGAGGTTTGGGTGTCCGCTTCTGCGACCGTCGCTGTGTGTTTTGTCTCGACTTCGGAGAGAAATCTCGGACGAAGCGGTCACCCCACGTGAATTGGACGATATTTTCGTCCATATGACACAAAACTTTATAAGTAAAAAGAATTAAATTTTAAATTATAATTTTAAAAAAGATTATTTCCTTTACATAGATTAATAGTTAAGCACAATAGTAAAAACTTTAGAATTCTTTCACCCCGCTGTAAAAGTGTGTAGTATATAATCTATTGGTTGAATTGGATTAGTTGTACAACCGACACAGAATATGCTTTTTTAAACGGAACGAGTTATCACAAGAGCATATCAGAGCCTGTCCATACATAAACTTATACGTTTATGAAGTGCTTTTTTGTCACATGGTTAATACTTGTCAGAAGAAAAAAAAGATGCGGGTCGACCATTTTTTAATTTGCTGGCAATTAAATTTTGCGCACATCATGGAAACATCTAATTTCAAATCCAGTCTGGAAAAAGTTTTTCCTTGAGGGTATAAATTTCCCGACCTCGATATAAATGATCCATTTGTAATTATACGAAATCATAAAACATAAAGTTATTAATGTATAAAGACTCAGTTCAAAGTCCCATTGGACAGACGAAAATGGGGGGGCTAAAAAAAACCAAAGCAAGAATCCTCCTCTTTTGTGAAAAGTACAGAAGCAAATTGTCGATGTTGGCTTGTGGGATGAACGAAGCTTCGTCCCGATGACACTCCGATGTCATCATTCTACCTGGTCCAAAAGGCGACTCACCACACCAGTCATGTTGCCATTCGACCTGTCTATATGTGGGAATGAAATTTCTTAGCTGCTCATCACATGGTCCCTTGTGGGGTCTCTCTTACGATCCGATCCCGTCTTTTAAAGAAAAGGTTCCGATGCCAGATTTTGGCATATTCCATATGCGAAAAGAAGAGTCAATGAATCGTCCCTACATGAGCTGAAATCACCAACTTTGAAATGCATTTGACAATTTTCAAGCTATAAAGAACGCACAACCATCTACAGACACAATCTACTACTACAAGAACAAGACTAATTTCATCATCATGAAATGCTGTTTTCATCTTTCTCATTGCTATCGTTGCATTGGGACATTGAATGTCACAGAAGCTTATATGGAATGATAGTAGTTGTTCAGCTGGAAAGAGTAGCTTCAGACATGTCTAAATAGAAGCAAATCGCTGCTTATTGGATGCTGAATGACACACACAAAAGAAGGCAACTGTCATCAGTTCAGACACATGTGATCCAAAATCTCAACTGGGTGTTTTAAATCCGAAGAAGAAGAGTAGATACAAGCCACTTCAATCTGCTGCGGGACTTAGCACTTCAGTTATTCGCTCTTGCACACTTCTTCAGTACTCCTTATTACCAAAGTTCTTGCACCAGAGTTGTGAAGGAATGGGGCGAACAGGCTGATGAGGCCGTTGCTGCAAGAAAGCAGAATTCTGTCAACCACTAGTCGGGAAACCAGACAGCATAAATATCTCGAGCTAAAAGTCATTGGGTCCAAATGACTTGTCCAGCTAGCGATGCAAATACAACATATAGAATAACATCTAGTTCCTGCTGGATTTTATTTAGAGAAGGCTGTTGACAATGAAGATGCACAACAATGACTCACAGGCAAATGTACCTTTGAGTTTATTCACAAAAATATGTACAGGCAGCAACTACGCAAAGGGAAAATCTCAGATGAACAATAAAAAGAAAATTAGAACAGGATGTTCACATGCATCGGGAAACTATCCGTCAAGACAGCAAAAAAATTATCTATTGCTATTAGTTTTCTGCAGGTACAGGGTTTTCAAACTCTCGTCAGTCCGAATATGATCAAAGCTTTTCCGCTTTCAGGGACGGGGTTCATGATTTTCTTTAGCATTCCACCCCATTTCCGTGAAGTTGCATTTCACAACACTTCTTTTCTAACTATATGACATGAAAGTGTATTTAGGCAACCAATCTTGTTTGTTTGCTTCCAATTAATCAAGACAGCGACCTTCCAACGAAAAAGAAAACAGCTTTGGAAAACTCTCAGGTGTAGCTTGCCTTTGTTATACCAGGTAGCATGTTAACAATTGAAGTACTTTACTATGATAAGGGTTAGTGTTTATCTTCCATGGATGATTGCACGGCAAGGTGAAGTATCTTCTCTAACTGTTTGACCAAAAAATCTTGGCTAGCAACACTTTTGGCCCTCAAGTTCTGATCGTGATTCTTGATTCTAAGACTGCAATTAAAACCGCAACTTCCCATTAAATGTTCCTCTAGTTCTTTGACAAGGATTAGCCCATAAATTGGCTTAAGACTGCTGAAGATCGACACAAGTATAGTTATGATTATCTGTCTAGGAATAAATGATTATGGCTAAGTGGGACTTTAGTAATATGTGAATGAGAGGGACTTAGACTTCAAAGACAGAACTGGTGTTTAACTTCTGCAGCACTCCCACTCACAAGCATAGAATGCACATTTCCGCGACATTGCTCTCTTCTAAACATGAAGAAATTCATTACTCAAGATTTCAAATACACTTCAAATCCTGGAAACGAAAAGAAAATGAGTACACCAATTTACATTCAACAAGTGAATTAGTAGCTATGCACTTTGCCATATGTCCTCTTCGCCTGAGAGATTACAAGTGCATTCGTCTTCCCTAAATATTCTCACAAGAGCACTTCCAATTAATCTTGCACTGACCCATATTACTCATAAGCAAACTCATGTCAAAGCACCTGAACCCAAACTCAGAACACTCTTCCCAGCACGAAACACGACGATTCTTTCTCTCTAGACAAAGAAACAGAGACAACACTGACAAATAAGCAGAGCTCAAAAAACGAATCCCCAAAGACATTATCGAAACAATTCGAATGGAATAGAGGGGCGACCTCGAGCTTGGCGGACGTCATGGCGATGGGGATGCAGACGAGGAAGACGCCGAACATGGCGATGGCGGTGTTGCGCTTCCAGTGCTTGGGCCTGCAGTAAGGCCCCCCGCTCATGCTCCATACCTTCGTCCTGAAATCGCCGTGCACCTCCCCGTGCCCGTGCCCGTGATCTGCTCCGCCCATTGCCGACCTCCTCAAGCTTCTTCCTCTCTCTCTCTCTCTCTCTACTCTAGCTCACCGACGATTCAATCAAAAAGGAAAAACAAATCAGCGGAGCAACACATGAACCACAAAAACCTAAGCCTTTTCAATGCATCGATTCATCGACGGTGACGCATCACTCGCTAATCAGTAGCTAAGGCCGCATTCCAAAGGACGATCGATATCGCAGATCTGGAGGATCGAAGAAGAGAGATTGGTCGGAATTACCTGAGAAATCGGAGAGGTTTGAGCTACTTCGAGTCTCCTCGCTCGTGTGTGTTGTTGAGTCGGAGGACTCGACGGTGGTGGTAATCTGCGGGTTTAGCGAGTGAAAGCGAGGGCTCTTTGGTCTTTCCACCGTATCCTGGCGAGTGAGATGTTCATGGGCCTCCACTGACGGCCCAATAATGGGTTGTCAATTTTTCGTTTCACAGCACTTGCACATGGTGTGAATTTACCAGGAGAAAGCTGAATCTAGAAATACGTTAAAACCTATTATCTTGAAAATGATATAAATGTACAAGTTCTGATCCAATTTTGATTGAAAAGGAACCGATTTGTTATTGTATGCATCATAACTATAGCAAATTGGAAGTTCCAGGAAATTAAGTGAATAGCCGACACGGGTGCGACGAATTGTATCCTCCACAGGGAGTGTATGCTCACTTGGAGCTTAAATTTGGACTCTAATCGGAAGCAATGTTGATAGTGAACAACCCATTTTTAGCTTAAACATGTTCTTATTTTGTTTGCGCAAAGTTTCATCTCGATTTCAATGGTACACATATGGTTGAATATGCTTTGTAGGGAGAATAGGAGAGAGCTGATCAATCGTAAAATCAAAAAGTTGAGGGTTTAGATGCTCCGCTATTTGTCTCCCAGCTAAAAGCAGTCAAAATAATGTCAACTGAGATTTCTCTTCCAGTTCTTCTTAATGAGAGATTTCTCTTGCTTCGCTTGACAAGGAGTTTATCAGAAGAACCTCAAGATGAGTAGCAGTAACTTGCAAGGCTTCTTTCTTGTCATCAATCATCATGGGTCACTCAAGGCCTCTGATCTGCCCACCTCAGCTTACTATTTACCTCGGCCATCAAAATGCAGGATGTGGGGCAAATAAAAATTACTCTCCCTGTATTCTATTAACATCCAGAAACTAGACATCGCTGCTGAACAAGTGAACAATGAATTTTTATTCGACATACGTGAATCATTCCATGATTGTCATTACACAACACCTGCATAAGAATGAAACGATACATTGGAACTTCCAGCCAACAGAACCTAGCAGAACCTAAGCCCAATAGATCCTCGGCTCTTCAGTGGCTGGTGATCATCAAGAATGGCTTATAAAACCAATTTAACAATAAAAAACAAATGGAGTAAATAGAAACAACATTTTTAGCATCAAGCACTGCCTTCAGCTTCAAGCGTCAATCTGACACCTTCTTTAAATGGAGTAGGAGAAATTCTTAGTGTCTGAACCAGTCTAGTGATATCCATGGAGATGTCAGCTGGGGATCTCACACCACGGTCAACCTGTTGAAAATCATCCATATCGACCATCAGAAAAGTTGGTAATTCGAAGAAACAGGCCATCTATGGTTAAGATTTAAAGAATCTCAGGCATGAAGTGCAAGATGAATATTGGTGCTTCTCTACTCTCATCTGAATGATAGTAATAATTGACGGAATAATTAGATAGGACAAAGTTAAGCACAACTGTCAAGGGCAGAACAGCAAATTGGAGTCACTAATAACCACCAGATGGGTTTTTGGGGGAAAAGTAAACACAAAAATAAATAGAAAAAGAGTGTCGTGAATACACATACTGATGAAGCAGATACTAGCGTGATTAAAGAGGTGCTGTATCCTCTAATATGCGCCACAGCCTCTGCCATTTGAGCACGAGAGACTCTGTCTGGTCCTCCAACGTTTAGTAGCAATTGCATGCACTCACCATCTGGACCAATCATCAATTATTATATTAACCGCAGAAATGGACAAAACAGCCGGCATTTGTGATAACAGTCACCAAAAAATTCTAAGTTTCTTGGACAAAATGCATATCTTTTCTGTAAGATAAATGCAGACGATGTATCTATTTCCATTCCCCAATAAATGTGTGCATATTGCTCAATGTAGAGGTAAGACAAGCAATTGACAAATAAAGGACACCCTGTTCTAAATCATAAGGATATGAAACTTTTATTAACATCTGCAAGTATGATCTAATGTTACTTTGACTGTCATACAATGATCTATAGTTACCAACATCACCCAGATGACAGATCAAAAGTGGTCACTGCAAACACTAAAGATTTGTTACCTGATATCCATCTACTTGTCAGTGCTTGTATTATAGTTACAACATCCTTAACGTACACTGGACAGCGAAACTCATCATGGAAGAATTCTGCTTTATCTCCTCTAGAGAGGACGCCATCAATCCACTGCATCACAGTGACGCGCGGGCACAAGTCAGACACTGAAATAATCATTTCTTGACCTCTGATTATCCTTATAGTACTTACTGCATGGCTGTTGCTCCTACTAGATTTTCTAAGTTTGCATGCTTAGACACTTGGCATATCATATAGAGCTGCCCTCCATTAGAAAGATCTTAAAACTCCATTTTGTATCTCACAAAGACAAAAGAATAAAAGCATCACTGAGGTGTAGGAACTCATTGAAGACTATCCATAAGAACAGAGACGCATATGCACATGTGGAGGAAATAATCTATATCACTTAATGTGATGATTTTGATCACCTCTTGTTTCCATCCGACTCTTTTTACCTGAATGGGTAGAGACATTGGAACAGGTGAAATAGTCTGAGGGCCAAAGATAATGCTGCTTCTCAAGATAGCAAAGTTTGACCAGTTCTTGCTGATAAACTGCTCTGCTGCCACTTTAGACTTTCCATAAACATTCACAGGAACAGTTTCGTCCTCTTCCTTGTAAAAGGATTTCACCCCTTCATAAACTGAATTCAAACGAATCAAATCTAAGGACATCAGGCTCGGCAAGATTTTTAATGAGAAGACTACATTCACTATAAGCTGAACCCCATTAAACTTGCAAGTCTACTGCAACAATCCCCATATCAAAAGTTCATTTACCTCAAGGGCCGACCAGTTGCCAATGATCCAAATTAAGAATGAACACTGAATAAGAGAAGTATGGTTAGACTAAGAAGTAGTTCACCTTGATCAGTTGATAGATGTATCAGAAGAGTGTTAGCCTGCTTAAAGGTCGATAGCCATTCTACAAGAGTAGAAGGCACATTAATAGACATAGCAGCAGCTGGATCTGCTTCGCAGGCACGAGGTACAGAGAGTGCAGCACAGTTAACGACCACGTCAGGCTGCCATTCAGACATGGTACTTCTCTTCAGCGCGAATGGAACCACGTCATGTTTTGTTACATGTCGGCTCTAAAGAGCGAAACTAGTAGAATGTGACACGATCAAGAAAGATCTAAACCATCATGATTATCAGGCATTAATCGAACGATCATCAAAAACCCCTGAAGCTAGTAGCACAATTTTTATAAAATCACTCCCCTAGTAGTAGAAACATCCCAGATAAAAAGAAGAAACGTGCAGCAATTATGTAAGGAAACAAAAAAACTGAATCTTGAGCATCAGGCAGCTGGAGGTGTACAATGCAAATCAGCTCAGATCCAAAGTTGCCCACGAATTTGTTGCCTGACTAAGATTCAACACATTGCGGCACGGTTATCGTCAAGAACAGACGTTGTCCAGCAGCAGATAATCGAAGCAAAGTGTTCTTCTTTGCAACAAAGAATCGCATTTCCAAAGCCAAAGTTTGACAGCATACAACTTAAGTTCAATTTAGCACGTTCCCTCTCGTAGATTCGTAACCCATGTTGTCAGTCCTCAAGACCGACTGGAGCAAAGCTTTTTTTCCATTCCCATAGCGAGCTCGACTCGAACAATTGGCGAGAAAACAAGACAAGCGAACTACTCGGTGACCACCAATCAACGACAGCTAAACTTCGAGCTTTGTGAACCAAAATGCTTCAGATTAAACGAAAAATTCAACGTGATGACGGTAACAAAACCTGACCGAACGCTTGTGAAACGGCATCGAGACCTCCTCCAGATTGCAGATCGACGTGAAAGGCCAGAGAACGAGGGAAGGCATCGAGCAATGCCCGAGGGAGGTTGGAGCGGTACGTGAACGCGAGGTCGTAGGGAGGATCCGGAACCTCCGAGAATGCCCGCAGGAGGTGCTGGCCCAAGTAGCCGGTGCCACCGACGACCAAGATTCGCTTCCGGGTCATCTTCTTCCTCGCCGTCCTCCTCTTCTTCTCCTTCTTCCCCTGGGACTTTGCTCGTGCTAGTGGCTGAGCGAGGAACACGAGCGAATGCAGGTGACCAAACGTGGAGAGATGACGGATTTCTTATGGCCGATGCGAAAATTTGAGGGAGGATCTTCGATGGAGGGAAGCTTCTGTTGTCGCGTCGTCTGCAACTTCACCAGGACGTGTCATGTCACTCTCAGGCTTCGTTCGTCCAGGTTAGAGCTGATCCAATGGAATGGAGGCCCGCGGGCTCAAGCTAAACCTGCCAAAACGAGTCATGTGTCAATTTCTTAATCCATATTTAATTAGTTAATTATATTTAGTAAATAGATTATAAATGAGTTTAGAATGATAATACTCAAAATAATATAACTATTAAATGAGTTCGCAATTTACTTATATGCGATCCAATTCTATAACTCTCTCTGGCCCCTATTCGATCTCTTGCTCGCTCACTCTGTAATTTTACCATAATTTGGATATGAGTTTTTTTAAATTGAGTTAAATATAGAATTGTTTTAACAATACAGATTGGCCGGTTATGGATTGAATATGAATCACTAGATTTGTATCATATGGAAATTGGTCAAAACAGATTAAATAGGTCAATTTTGATCGAGCCATTTTTTATCCGATTCACTTGTTTGAGAGGTCTACTCCCAAGCTAGCCGACGCGTGATTTGGGTACTCCTATGCCTATTCATCGTGAAGTCCATCAACGAACGTTACTCTAGTGGAAAAGGCGCAAAGACATCGTACGGTGGCTTTCTATTATCGTTGTACGTAGCTTCTACTTCGCCTTCCGAGCATTTGCTGAATTTGCACTCTTAGGGTGCGTTTGTTTGAAGGAAAGTATTTTTCGGGAATTCGTTTTCCGAACTTTAACCCATTTTGTTCGCCGAAAATAATAAGTCAACGGAAAACACTTTCTGGTCAAGGAAAACATTCATATATAATATTAGGAAAGTGAATTCCTTAATATGAGAAGGTGAAAATACTTTTCAGAATTGCTCATCTTAACTTTTTGGGAAAATTCCAATTAAGGACCCCAAGTGGGGTCCTTTTCTCAAAAGAGGACCCAAAGTGAACATGGTGTCAAATAAGGACCTTTAAGTGCCCAATCGCCCAAATAGGCCCGAAGTACTCAATTTGTCTCGAGATAAGGGCCTCGAGTTCGCCGGCCAGGTCAAATCTCGCCGGCCGAGGCGAGTACATGCACTGATTCTTGTTTCGAAACAAGACATTTCATCTCTGTTTTTTTTTCTTTTTCTTTTTTTTTTTCTTCGCTCCGCCGATCTCAGCGAGCTCGAGTTCACCGGCCATGGCACCCTCCCCCTCCCCTTCCCGCTCCAAGTTCTCCCCACGAAAGCCCCCGCCGGAGTCCCCGAGCTCCGCCGCCAGCCCCGCCCCGCCCGATACAGCCCTCGACAACCCGGATCTCGGGCCCTTCCTCCTCAAGCTCGCGCACGACACCATCGCCTTTGGTAATTTAGGTCCTTAATTGATACCTTGTCCACTTGAGGTCCTCTTTTGAAAAAAGGCACCCACTTTGGGTCATTATTTGATAATTTCCCTAACTTTTTTAGTATTTTATTCTTTTCTTTTCTTTTCTTTTTTCTTTTTTTGCTTTTCTATTTTTCTATTTTTTTTCTTTCTTTTTCTTTTTTCTTTCGTCCACTGGTCGTTGCCCACAGGTAGGGCAGGCTCGCCAGCGCAAGTTCGCGACTCGCCGGCCTCGCACGAGCTTGAGCTTGCCAAATCCTAGCAAGCGCCGACCTCGCATTAGCGAGCCTCGACCTCGTTGGCCTTGCACGAGCTCGACGCTCGCTAGATCTAGGTCAGCGCGAGCTCAGGCTTGGTCAAGACCAGCGAGCTCGACCGCTTGTGGCCGTCGCCAAGCGAGCCTCGAGCTCGCCTGTGGCCGTCACGGCGGAGGAAGGAGGAAAAAAGTAAAGGAAAGAAAAGAAAATTAAAAAACTGATTTTTTTAAAATAAAATAAAGTAATTCGAAATTAGAATTTTTTTAAAATAATAAAATTGAAAATTCGATTTCTTTTTGCCTAAGATAAAATCATGAAATTGAAATCGTTTTCCAATGAAATTCAAACATCAGAAAACAATTTCGATCATATATTACCAATCAAAGGAAAACTAATCGTTTTCTTGAAAAATACTTTTTGGGAAATCATTTTCCGTTATCATTGAGTTTTCCGCAAAGTAGACACATCCTTAGTCTTTGTTTGCTTTCTAGTCTTTTCAAACTCTATTCTTGAAAGTGAGTGCAGGTCGTGTGATGAAAAGAAAATTGCAACAAAATAATCGATTAACGTTGTGATTACTTGTATTTAAGTTTTGACATAAATGATCCATGAATTTATCCCAATGTATAATGTGATGCCTCAACTTTTAATTTAATTAATGTAATTCTTGAACTTTAGCCCAATGTGTAATCTGGTCTCTAAAATTTTAATTTGTTCAATATGATTCATAAACTTTTGATACATGTTCAATTTAGTCTCTGAACTATAAGAAAATGTTCAATATTATCCCTGACCTGAAATTAATGGAAGGACAACGGGGACTACATTCAACGTGTTTCAAAAGTTCGGAGACCATACTGTATATTGAGCTAAAATTCATAAACGATATTGAACAAATTAAAAATTCGAAAACCACAAAGTTCATGAACCACATTAATCAAATTATATTTGTCACAAATATGCAAGAAGAGAAGGACATTCGAAAAAATTACGCAATATCCCCGATGCATTTGAGATCATCAACTCACGTGCATATTCAACGGGGGACTCACATGATCCAATAGTGCATGTAAATCAAGCTCGCAGGCACCAAAATCATACATTAATGGTTCTTGAGTAGGCATTGTCAAGGTACAATGATCGATGCTACTTGCCATTGTCATCTTTTGGCATTGAACCCGGATGTCAGCAATCCCTCTTAACTAAACCGGGAGGCGTAAATATTATAACAATAGCAATCTAATTGTGAAAAAAAAACAAACATTTTGCATGTGTACACCACAATCAACGAGTAACAATGCTCCATGATGAAAGGAATCAGAAGCAAATGACCCCCGTCCTGCAGGTTGAGAAAGGGTGAGGGGGTGCTTTGGAATGAAAAAAAATCAACCTCGAATTATTTACAACTCGAAATTCCCATTAAGGCACGAGCCTCATGAAGAAAACTGGAAACCTCTCTCTGCAAGTTCTCTTTGAGATTCTAAAGCTAAATTCTAGACAGCAAAGAGCAAACCTCAAAAGGCAATCAATCAACTGATAGACCAGAAGCAGATTTGCAATTGCGCGGATAAAACAACAATGTATGGGAGGATGGCAAAACTGCGGCATTGGTAACCACCCCCTTCTCTCTGTCACTTTGCCTGATTCAGATGGCTGCAGAGCACCTGCCCTGGAAAAGTAGAAGACGGCCAAGATTGGCTGGCTTCCTTTATCAGTTGTTGTGCGGGATCCCTTGAGACTTCTCAACGAGTGATTCGATTTTCTGGTGGGAACATCAGAAACACAAATAATTTAATACGGAAAAAAAGAAAAAGATCTGATAGAGGTAGTTTCTCTAAGAGAAAAAGGCAGATGAGCTCCCAAATGGATATATTTTCCCAATGACATCTCAAATCCTTCCGACAGTTAATGATGGAGACACTTTATTTCCTCCAGTTAAAAGACTTTCGTAAGCCTTCTAAAACGTGAACTTTACAGAAAGCAACTCCATACCTTCACTGACTTGTTGACTTCTTCAAGTTTATTTAGCAGCAGTTCACCAGGCACCATGCCCCTCCGCTCAATTGAAGGATAGCGTGAGGAACCAGTCGTCTGCATCATAAGATTGATGAGAACATCATCATTAGAGACTCACTCCACATATAAAGTCAGCTGCATAGAAACAGGAACAACAGCAGAAACTGTATATTGATTATCTTCTTCCAATGTTTCCTCCGAAAAATGGAGGCCTGAACTATGTTTCTGCTGTATGTGGACTTCGTTAGCAGTGGAACCTTTATGATTGTTAGACCCGAGAAATCATTAGAATAGACTATAGTCCAAACATTAGCCATGCCCTAAGAAGAGACCTTATCCCTTTGGTAATAAAATCGCTGACTATTGACGAATAGAATCCTTGACTCCTGCTACTGCAGTAGCCTACAATCACTAGGCAAACCCCAGTCACAGTAGCTGAATTACTGTTATTGAAGTTTGCAAAGTATGCTTGTATCTACAGTGTAGATAAAGTCGGCAGTTTTGCATTGAGAAAGAATCTACCAATTTCTGAAAAAGCTTCTACCAAAGAGCCAACTACATTATGAAAATAAGCTTGCCTATTGTTCCTGATTTTTAACGAAGATCTCCCGTTGCTGTTAACTTCTGCTAACAAGTAATGGGCAGGCTTATAGCATGTTATCATCTTCTTCCATTTTCTAGTTTGACCCGGTTGCTGCTATTACAGAAGTATACTATGTTTTCCTAGCCATGTCTTTCTTAACAAGAAAAAGATTTAGCTTGTAGAACATAGTTATAGAGTACCTTCCAACTTTTGGATGGTGACTTCAGATAAGTTGATCCCTCAGTCAATGATGTCATACGAGCCATACTGTCTCCCTCGACAACAAAAGAAGTAGGCTTCCAACTTCTGCCAGCATCCTGTATGACTTTGGAAGCTCCTGTGATAATAACCTGCAAGATATGCAAGGACTCTGTATATACATAATCTCTTCCAAATGTTGTCAAATGACTGACAAAAAATAGTTTGAGGAAATTGAAAGATGAAATTGCAGATGTTCCTGAATCATTAAAAGATGCAGAAAGAAAGAACTGTAAAGAATGGCCAACCTTCCTCAGTAAACCAGGGTTTGAAACCCCTTGAACCCGCAGCTCATCTACTGGTGCAGCTTTTCCACGTGCCACGCTTTCAACTCTGAATGTATGAATTCCGTAGATAGACTGCAGCCAACCTAGAAAAATAAAAATAAAAACACGCTAGTAACTCAAAAGGTCAAGCATTTGATTAGCGCAATGATATGTCATGTCCTTTCCCAGAAAACAACCTATTTTGTGTATACATAATACACTTCAGCCATCAGGACGAGACATTTAAGTTCAGTATGCTAAGCATCTTAGGCCAGAGAGGAAAAGTACAGCAGCTGAAATTATCGATAAAGATCACAGGAGTGAAATAAAAATAAAAACACACTAGTAACTCAAAAGGTCAAGCATTTGATTAGCGCAATGATATGTCATGTCCTTTCGCAGAAAACAACCTATTTTGTGTATACATAATACACTTCAGCCATCAGGACGAGACATTTAAGTTCAGTATGCTAAGCATCTTAGGCCAGAGAGGAAAAGTACAGCAGCTGAAATTATCGATAAAGATCACAGGAGTGAGCTTCCAATAAGGCAAGCATGAGTACCTTGTTCAATTATTATATCAATCACCAAGGAAAGAGGTACATGCTTCTCAATCACTGCGGGATGCCAGAAGGGTATGAATGACGGCCTTGAAACCTTCAGACAGAAGAAAATTTAGAATTGCAGAGATGCCTTTTTTTCCCTTTCGTAAACATATATATGAAAAGAAAGGCAACAAACCTTGTAAACAATTTTAGTAGGTGTGACATATAACTTTCGTGAGTGAATATCATTTCGAATCACATATCTTCTAATGGGAAGATATATCAACATAAAGATGCCAACTCCCCATGCTAGAACAAGAAGCAGGGATATAGACAGCCATATGATGGTATCATACTTGAGGTGATTCGTTGCAAGCTCCTCAAATGAGGCTGTATAAAGTATCTCCTCAGAAGAATCTGACGCTTCATCATTGTCTAATTCAGATTCAGGATCAGGGAGCAGCTGTTCCTTCGATGTACTGCGCTCCGACAGACCATCAGTATGACCCATCAACATTTTCTTGAACTAGAAAAGCCAAAGGAATGCAAAATCAAGTTATAGGGTGAGTCACTTGAAGCAGTGTGGTTAGAGGAAGTTAATAGATAATTCTCTACCAGTTGAAGTTCCATAAAATAACTCAAGAATGCTGACAGGAAAAATTAACGAATTGACTCTGCGAAGTTCCTTGAAAAGTTTTTAATATGCATTGAGAACAACCCTAATACAAGCAAAGTTTAATCCTACTCTCCCTGCCTCTCTTGCAGGATACAAAAGTTTCTGGACTGAAGAACAAAATTACTGCAATGGGCACTGATCGGGGATAAAGCAGTTACTGTTAGTGCAATAAGCTTTTTAGTTTATTGTTATTACTCAACTCCGGTGTTTAATAACGATTCTCATCTACGACGGCTAAGCACAGCAAGTTAACTCCCCACAAATTTGGCCAAAAAAAGGAAGACCCTTCCACAGATCAATTCAAACTGGCAGCATATTCCTAAATCTCACTCTTTCAGGCTTAAGACCAGAACCTCCAGACATGCCTAGACCCACTTTCTTCTTGGGATCAGTCGTTTCTCGCTTTGGTCAGCCCTATCATGAACCCTAGCAATAAGCTTCTTAGCTGGCCTTACCATAAGAAAGTATCGATCCGAGGCCGAAAGTATGGTTTGGCAGAAAGATGGCATGAGTTGTGTAACTATCACAATTAGCCTAGCTAGGTTAACGATCTGATAGAAGAGCAAGCCATTCAATCAGATACAGGTCAGGAGCTACATTCCACTATGGTTCACAACACAATGTCGGCCAAACACACTCCAATATTCATGTCTCAGATGTTTAGGTGCCTGGGTGTCGCGACCCTCTTTTCCGTAGGGGGGAAAGGAAGAGGTTTAAAGGCTATGCCAAATCGGGACCAACGGTCTTCTTCCGGCACTGGTTCTCCCAAACCCTTGCCTTCCGCCACGTTGGGATATTCAATTTTAGATTAGATTAACCCTATGAGAATTCTAAATGAAGAGTCGCCACTAGCCTATTGGGGTCGGCTAACTATCAATGGGGATCTCGGTATACGAGAATCTCAACACAAATCTAATGGACTCAAAGGGAGAAAAAAGAGGGAAAATGCACTCCATATTCCAAACAGAACAAGAGCAATGTGCCAATGCCCAACTGGCATGCTAACTGATGAATCAGTCATGTCATGTGATTCTAATCCCTATTTTCATGCCACCCCAATGAGGCAATCTATTTTCAAGGGATTGTTTGAGCCAGAGAGGCTTCTTCCAACTTCAGAGAGAGAGGGAACCACGACAAATGATTCGGCTGTAGGTAAATTTGCGTCAATCCCCCAATTTCATCTGCTCCTACAACATCATTAAAGCCACAGAACGCATCCGTAACCTCCGACCAAACACACCGATTCAGCAGATCGCTCCAAAGCAAAAGCCGGTCGGCATTGCAAACTGAATAGTTGTTTTTTGGACGCCGGAGCTTAACAATGAAGATACACGCGCTTTACCATTTCGACATGTCCAGCTAACTTAGGAGCACGACGCAAAATAGCATCTAGATCAGGAATCCTCGTATACACGTTCGACGATTACGGATTTTGTCCGAATTCAAACATTCACGAGCCGAAAGAGGAACCGAGCGCAAATTGGAAAGCGCAAATCGCAGAGAATGTCACGGAGGCGGGGAACTTCACCTGTCGACCCTTCGAATGCCGGCACGAACGGAGGATCAATGGCGGAGGAGCTCGAGAATCGCGTGATCGATGGCTGTCGGAGCTGCTGGCACTAGTGGAGATGCAGATGATTCAAGAGAGCTTCGGAGCTGTATGGATTTCTGAAACTACCAGTCTTCGCTCTCTCTGGTTTCGCCTATTTTGGGGGCCCCCCTCGTATTTAAAAACTCGAAAGTTTTCGACTTTTTCGTTTTTTAATTTCGCTCATCGCGCTTTTCTATTTTTAGGAATAGCCCTTGCGGTTAGCTCTATTTTCTGGCTTTTCCCTATTCTTCTTGGGTGTGAAATTGTAAAATTGTTGCAATGATAATAGGGGTGTGCAAAATGGACCGTCTGGACCGGAAACCGTCCAGACCGAACTAACTGGTTTGGTCCAGTTCCCGGTTCCTAAAAGTAGAATCAGTATCCGGATGGTTCGGTTTCCGATTCTCTGGGGGAGCCGAACCGACTACATATAACTTTTTTATTATTTATTTCTTCAAAAAAATAGTAAAATGTGAACTAAACTCATGTACAACACTTTCCCCTTATCGTCGCACCTCAATGACTCTTCACTTATCGTCACTTCCGTCAATATGTTGAGATTTGTTACTCTCTCTCGTTGTGGTGGGAAAAAAAATAAAAAAGTGACCGATTCCCGATCCTAAGACCAACCGGTTCAATCCTCGATTCTCAAAATTGGGAACTAGTCCTCCCGGTCCGATTCCCGATTTCACGTCGAAACCGGATTGAACTGGGAACTGATTACCCCTAAATGATAATGACTCCGTAATATTATGTTTATGAAAAAATAAATTAATTATGATCACGATGATAGTACGAACTTTTGAGCCTAAAATTTGAAATTTATTAATATCAAGCCTTCACTAAAGTGTGTTTTATAGTAAGGCTCTTACCATATATCTCCCCATAGAATACAATTCGATTGCAGTCACCATTCTCTATAGCATGGTGACTAATTCAAGGAAGCTCCTCGTCTATATATGCATGAGAAGTCATGTAGCGTGCATGATTTCATGTAGCTAATTTTCATCAACTAATTATATTAAACGTAAAGCGAAATGCGGCAAAAAAAAAAAAATTCATGGACCGATCTCATCGTCTCTATCTCGTAAGAACTACAAGATCACATGACTCCTTTGGCATCCAGGGGTCGTGGACCGATCATAAAATCACGTTCAATAAGTAGAACGCATTAGCTGTGTGCCCTTAGATTGAGCAGTAAAGATCGAAGAAAGGCAATCACTCATTCTTAAAATCAAAGAGTCAGGCGGAAAAGGCAAGGAAAGCTCTCAATTCCTAATTCTCCTGTAGCTGGATCCTCCATAACCAAAAAAAATCTTCGCTAGATGAGATTTCAACTCAACACCCTTTGAAATTTTGATAAGAGTTGTTCTTTGGAGAGTACAGTACGATGAAAGTCGTAAACTGTGTTCGAGGGGTATTATTGTCTGTTGTTGGCCTTCATCCAGTGAAATGGAGGGTTTCGATTGGGTCTCTACAAATGGATTGCCTAGAGTTAGGAGTGCTAAGTTTAAAAGTTCATACTCTAATAAAAAAAAGTACATTGCTAAGAAAAACTTCAACATACATCCAAGTTGAAGAACACACTAATAAAAAGAATAACTATTCTTAGAAAAAGTTATAAAATTCTACATAAGGATAAATATTTCAGAGACCACGAATGATAGTGCGAAATAAAGAGCAGCATCAATCAATGACAAATAATTCTTCAATTAAATACCTCAATTATATTAATTCAAGTATTGTGTATTTGATATAATGATTTCACAACCTTATTGAAAATAGTTAATAAATCGAAACTTGTGATAGAAGAAGGTTAAAAAACTTATTGATGATATATAATTCCAATAATTAGTGTGAAGCAGTCATGTAGACCTCTCTAATTGAATAAGGGCGTGTTTGGCAGGTTGCCAAATAATGACTATTTTCTGTTCTTTTGTTCCCAGAATTAGTTTTGAAACAGAAATTCGTTTAGTAAATTTTTTGTTCCCGAGCAAAAATTTGCAAAAATTTGTTCACAGAATAAGTTTTGAAATAGAATCAAGACGCAAAAAAAAGTAGCTTCTTGATTCTAGGAACAAGAATTAAAAATGGAAAAGAATTTTTTTTTTCATTCTTCTTCCTTCTTGGTTTTGTTCTTCTTCTTCTTCCTGGCTTGCCGCCGATCGCCGGCGGCTGGCGATCGGCCATAGGCCAGGGCCGGCGAGGGCGTTGTGGTCCTCGCCCCCTGGGCGAGGGTGAACACCAACTCGGCGCCAGGCGGTGTCGAGTTTAAATCTAGGGTTGACGACTTCGCGGGTGGACTTCAAGTGCGGGGTGAATCTAATGAAGGCGTCGCGGAGTGAGTTGTACGCCTAGGTATGCAACCGAGTTATGCCCGTCCTCGAGTCAACAATGATATTGCCGTTGTTGGACTCATCCATCTGGAACAGCGACAGTGAGATCGACAGCATTGCCCCTCCCTCGCTCAGGCCGCTAGTCGCCCTCGCCGAATCTGGCGAGGCCAGCGGCGAGGGGCCCTTGCCCAAGCGACGAGGACCGTGACGCCCTTGCCGGCCCTGGCCGGTCGCCGCCGGTGCCGGCGACCTAGCCATGGCCAAGGAAGGGGAAGAAAAAAAGAGAAAGAAATATTAAAAAATTCAAAATATTATTAATAAAAAGAAATTTTGTGCAGTTACCAAACGCATTTATGTTCTTTTTCTATTCCAAGAATAGAAATTTTGGGTAGTTATCAAACGCCTTCAAATGCTTACAAATTATTCCCGGGCACAAAATCAAAAAGAATCATTTATGAGTAGAATCAGCTTCCAGGAACAAAATGGTTGCCAAACGCACCCTAACTAAGTAATCGAAATATGTAGAAATAAGCTGTAGAAGTGAAAATATGATATGGAAAAGAAAAATGTCGTGGAATTCGGACTCCTTTTCATCTTACAATTTTTATGCACGGAAATTTTATAATCTTTATCTTTTCCACACATCGCGCGGACTATAATTGAATATGAGAAAATTCTAAATAAGAGCATGAAGTACAATAATTTTCTCAAATAAAGACTTAAAGTGGACATTGTGTCAAATGAGGACCTGAAGTGAAAGGCTTGAAGTGGCCACAATAGTTTCAAATAAGGGCCTGACTTCGTCGGTGTCGGCCAGCTACATATTCTGGTCGGTTAAAGACATTTTCGTCCAAAGACAATTTTATTTTTAATTATTTTTTCTCGTTTATTTTTTTTCAGCAAAGGCCTAGCGACCCTCGTCGGCGGCGAGTGAGGTTGTCCCTTGCCTGTGGCCGGTGAGGGCGACTCTCACTCGCGGTCGGTGATCCGGCCACCAATGAAGAATAAAGAAAAAACCAAAAAAAAAAAAAAGAAAAAAGGAAAGAAAAAAGGAAAAAACAATGAAAAAGGAAAAAAGGGAAAAAATTCTAAAAAGGTAAAGGACGAAAATGCCATTGACCATTCGGACAGTTATGCTCTTATTTGAAACTGACATAGCCCATTTGGGCACTTATTTAAGACAAAATCCACTTTATACCATTATTTTATAAAATGATGACACTTTAGGCTTTTATTTAAGGGTTAATACCACGAAAAACCCTAAACTGGTACAGTTGTGACAATTTTACTCCAAACTATTTTTTTGACCACAAAAAACCCCAAACTGGTACACTTGTGACAAATTTACCCCGAACTATTTTTTTGACCACCAAAAACCTCGAACTGATATACTTGTGACAATTTTACCCCAACTAATTTTTTAATATTATTTTTTCGAATTTTTTAATTAATTTTTTATTTTTTCTTTTATTTTCTTTTTTTCCTTAATCTTCTTCATCTTCAATTTACGGCGGTCGCCGGACAGCGACTAGCCTTGAAGGGCGGAAGCCGCGAGTCGGCCCGCCGGCCGTGGGGCGAGGCTCGACCTCGCCGAAGCCCAGGCGGCGACCTCGCCGTTGCGGGCGAGCCCGACCTCGCCATCGGCCGGCGGGAGCCGAGCCCTCGCCAGCGGCTAGCGAGGCCGACCTCGCCGGCTTTCGCCTCTGGCCGGTCGCCGGACCGGCGACCGGCCAGAGGTTGAAGATGAAGAATATTAAGGAAAAAAAGAAAAAAAATTAATAAAAAAATTCGAAAAAATAAAAAATAATATTAAAAAATTAGTTGGGTTAAAATTGTCACAAGTATACCAATTCAGGGTTTTTGATGGTCAAAAAAATATTTCGGGGTAAATTTGTCACGAGTATACTAGTTTGGGGTTTTTTGTAGTCAAAAAAATAATTTGGGGTAAAATTGTCACAATTGTACCAGTTTAGGGTTTTTCGTGATATTAACCCTTTATTTAAAAATAAAATTCTCTTCAGGTCCTTATTTAAAAAAAATAAGAGTATTTCGAGTCTTTATTTGAAATTTTCTCGAATATTGATATATGGAAATGCATAAAATCTTGTCACGGGGAAATTTTTTTTATGATGGAAAGTCAACGAGCGAGTTTTGTTTGAGAAGGTCAAAAGGGACGAGGAAAATTGTTGGTCGGTTAGAAATGATTAAACCAGAAATTTTTTTTTTTTCAAACATAGACGGAAGAAGGTTAGACAGAAGATGTTCCACGTGCTGATTTTCTGGGGCGACTCCTCGTCTGATCATTCGCTGGCGGGACCGGGACCCCGGAGGCAGGCCGCCCTGAATCCGACGAATCCCATTGGCTGTCCCCTCGCTCAAAACTGACCAAACGACGTCGCAGCGTCGCACGGCGATCCATCCTCCAATCGCCCTCAACGCCAGCGAACACAGAAGCAGGTGAGTATATCCGACGTATTGCATAATGCACCAAACCACCACATCTCCTCTTCTCCTCTTTCTCTCTCTTTCTCGCCGTGAACTTCACGCAGATCCTCGCGTCCTGATTCTCCCTCGCTCCATCGGCGCTCCAATCGAAAGGTGAGAGCATCCCGCGATTATCTTGCTCAATTCGGCGCCTGATCTTGCCATTGCTTCCGCGCGTGCGCACGTCGCGATTTCGTTGGAGCTTCCGCTTTAGGTTTCATGTCCGGTTTCTTCGTTCAGCTGTCGATGCGGCGACGATCTCCGCGAGGCTGTAGATACCGCGCTTGCGTGTGCGCGCGCGCGCGTGTGGCCATGCGCGGTGGTCGTGTTCCGTTTGCGGGGATCGTTACGTGCTTGTCAGTTTGCTCCATGATTGTTACGTCCATGGAATCTGTCCTCTTCAGGCCTGGCGATTCTAAACGCGGGCATGCTTGTTTTCTTACCATGCTGGACGTTTGAGAGGTTTTTTAAGTTCAATTTTAGATTCAACCGTAGTTTCCCTCATTTTTCATCGACCGACAGGGGGATAGATAAAAATGTTTTAGTCTAGTTGAATTCCGTAGCTTTCTTGATATTAGCTGGGTGCTAGACGAGGAGAAGAACGGGATGCATGGACCCAGTTCGTCGCATGAGGTATCCACTGCAGTTAAGAATTAGGATGACAGGATAATTTCCAAATTTGTGGTTGAGCAGTTTTAAATAAGCTTCCTTTGGAAGGTAGAAGGAATTGGCAAATGGAATCATGCTGTTGAGCTTGCGCGTGTGCTTTCTAATGGTGTTTTAGATAGATGAATCATTTTGTTATTGGATTGCCCTCTCTTAGCCTTATGGGAGATAGTTGATGTATAGGTGATTAAAGCCCTAAATTTTTTTTTTTTTGTTTAAGATTATCCAGAACCGAAGTATCTTAGATGTTTCTTTGTTTAGGTTGCTGTGGTTTCTTTGCTCGTGTATTTCTTCCATGGTAAACTCAGAATAAACTCATTCACGTTCTAGGTCATGAGCATTATGGATCATTTTCGTTTGCTTTAAATACAAAAGAGTTTAAGATGGGATCGTTGGTATTTAAGAGCTTCAGGAGTTGGTTTTTGTCTAAAAAATACATAAGTTGATCTAGGGAGCCATTGTTTAGTTAAATTAGTTTTGTTGATGACTTGTAGCAGGATTAATGTCCGTGCATTTGTCCCATATAAGTGAGAAAAAGAAGCGGTTGAAAAATACTAAAACACAGGAAGGGCATGTTCATCAAATATGAAATTGAGAGACTGGCACTTTTATTGCAGTGTTGACTTTTCTTCAATATTATCTTCAGCCATTTATTTCAGATATGCAAGTTCCTCATCCTTCATGTGAGTGAAGATATTTATTTGTACTATCGTTGAAGGTGACAGGTGTATGGCAATTCTTACTAGTTGTTAAAGAGGTAGCCCATGATTGAAAACAATGGATAGAAAACAACACATTGCAATTTTCACGACCGCAAGCCTACCATGGATGACTGGTACAGCTGTCAACCCTCTTTTCCGTGCTGCATATCTCTCAAAAGATGGAGAGAGAAATATCACTTTGGTGATTCCTTGGTTATCATCAAATGATCAAGGATTAGTATATCCTAGTAACATCATGTTCAGGTCTCCTTCAGAACAGGAAATGTATGTCCGTCAGTGGCTTGAAGAAAGAACGGGCTTTAAATCTGCTTTTGGCATACGTTTTTACCCTGGAAAGGTACTCATCGGTTCTATATTAGATGTGCTAATCGTTATGCATTGTGTTTAACTTTTTTGTCACGAGAAGGCAAATAGTTGCTGCATCTACAGTCAGAAGAACAGTTAAATTCAATGCCTGTACCACTGAATGAACAGTCTTCAACTCTTCCTCTTCCGGAAGAGTGTATAATCTTATGACAGTAGCATGATCATTGAGAATTGTCATTCTTGATACTGTAGTGAGATCATTGAGAATTGCCCTTCTTGGCCAGTCGTAAATGCATGCATCTTTTGCTAGTTATTTTCAACCACTAAATGGTCTATGGCATGGTTATTCTACTAATTAAACACTTACTTTTTCCTCTGTAGCTGAAAATCTGGTATTCGTTTCTTTGGTATAGTTATAATCCAGAATCACATGAGCTTTAACATATTCATGTGACGGATAGTCCATTGGCTCCTAAACATGTAACGGTGTAGGCATATTAGGGAAGCTTGTCATTTTTGGTGTTTGGTTACTGAAATTTTCTTCTACACGTAAGTAAATATCATCTACTACAACTGTCTCAAGGATAAATGTTAATGCATGGTATCGACTACACTGCAGTTTTCCAGAGATAAAAGGAGCATTCTTCCTGTTGGAGATATTGCAGAACTCATCTCCGATGAAGAGGCAGATGTTGCTGTCCTGGAGGAACCAGAGCACCTAACATGGTATCATCATGGGAAAAGATGGAAAACTAAGTTCCGCCTTGTTATTGGAGTTATTCACACAAATTACTTGGAATATGTAAAGAGAGAGAAGAATGGTCGTATACAAGCATTTCTTCTTAAACAAGCAAATGGTTGGGTTGTCAACATATACTGTCATAAGGTATTGTCCTCAAGCTTTTTCCTTTCATTTTTTTGTTGAGAGAAATGGTTACTGTGGTAACACTGATTGCATCTCTGTACCTAGTCTTACACAGAATATACTCTTGATAGTTTGCATTTTTAATGGAGTTTGATATTGGTCAGTTGTGGAACTACCCATGCACTGTTTGGTTTGTTGACCTTGGAGGCTGTGAAATGAAAAACAGGTTGGTAGTCGTTTAGGCTATCTGGATGTAAGTTCATGACATTTAGAATTGAGTGCATTCTATATTCCCTGTCTATCCAGTGCGGTACTTCTGGAAGGTGATTATATGCAATCAAACGATTAAACATGGTTATGCGGAGAGTTTATATAGGCAAAAGGTGAACTGCCCAACTGTGATATATGAACTCATAATAAATGATAGGCCTTTGGTGCAGTCTTCTGACCTAGAGTTGGTAAGAGATGGGTCAGAGAAGAACATTCTACTTTGTAGAGACGTGGAGATTCTTTGGTGTTAGAAATCCCAAGCACAATCTCATATTAAATAGTTTCAAGGGTTGAGTACTTTTAGGGCACTTTCTTAGCATACTTTCATGAAGTGTTTGATTTGCAATGTGTCGATTGCACTTACTGCAGAAAAAGTCAATGCATTGAAATTTGCAGATTTCCTTGTTTGATTGCTTGATAGTGCTCGAAGAGCCCTCCTTGACAAACTGCATATTGTTATGATTATCGTTTGGCTTGTGGTCATTGTAATTATAAGAGACGAAAGAGTGTCGATCCTTTTCTGTCAATAATTTAGGGGTCACCCCTTTTTGTGTAAGCAATTCACGGATGACCCAGTCTCTCATGGGTTGCAGAGGAGGTTTCAAAAAGAAGGGGATCATCCATCAAATTTCACTGTGGGTACAGGGGCATTGGTGAAATTTACTCGAGAAAGATGTGCTTTGCAGATACTATCGGCCTTTTCTAGGACTTATTAAAGCGATGATCAACACCTTTGTTCAGTTCTTACGTGTTATCAGATTCTTTCTTGTCGAGCCTTTGTTTTCATCACTTCCCATGAATTTTTTAAGTGTGTACGTCTGAATCTTTAAAATGATGTCCATTTGGGGCTGAATATGATTCTTGATTGTCAAATGGGAAATGACTAATTAATTTGAACATGAATATACTGTGTTGCTGTATTTACAGCCCTTAATCTTCATATTGCTCTCTGTTTATGAATGTCTGTCGATCGTGAAATTTCCGGATAGAGGTAGCTGTCAGTAGTTTATGAGTGTGAATACATTGTGTTTGCTTCTCCTGCTCCTTAGGTGGGCACTCAATGTTTGGATGGATGTCCTAGCATGTTGGTTTTGGGATACACAGCAAAAGATGAAGCCAAATGGTATAGATTTATGTAGCCTAGCCTGAGCAATATGGGAACATTTACTCGATGTTATTGTATTGGTCACAGAATTACTGGTTTGCATTTAGTTTTAAGTTGAGAGAGCAGTGTCTTGTTATCTTTTTATTTTATTTAATCCCGCTCGTCATTCCTGTCAAAAGTAAGTTGTTTACAAAGAACAATGGTGGAAACCTACTGATTCTGGAACTATGGCTATAGTCCAACACTTACACTTAATAAGGTTTCACTTGGGGGATTGGACGGCAGGTTATCAGATTATCCGCTGCCACTCAGGATTATCCCAATTCTATCATCTGCAATGTCCATGGAGTTAATCCCAAGTTCCTTGAGATTGGCCAGAAAAAGATGCAGCAGCAACAAAATGAAGGCAAAGCCTTTAGCAAAGGTGCTTACTATATTGGCAAGATGGTTTGGAGCAAAGGCTACAAGGAGCTACTTAAATTGCTTGGTGATCACCAGAAAGAATTGACTGGGTTTGAGATTGACTTGTATGGGAATGGAGAGGATTCTGATCAAGTTAGGAAAGCTGCAGAGAAGTTGGAACTAGCAATTAGAGTTAACCCGGGTCGTGACCATGCTGATCCCCTGTTCCATGAGTAAGTTGTCACTTTGTCACAATTTTGCAGCTTGAAATACCTGGAAAACAGCTGTTAGACATCCTTAATTGGAGGTTTCTTTCATGAGGCTCCCTATCGACCAAAAAGTTGGTGAAACTAATGACTATACAACACACTGCATGCATCGTATCGGTCTTATAAAGTAACATAATTCCTTGTAAAATCCTTAATGCTAGATCATGAAGGGTAACCAGATTTCCCATCATGCTTTCTTGTACTTAACAAACTAATTACTGTACAAAACACTAAATGCATCTTATCACGGTTTGTTTTTACAGATTATCAGTCTTATCTCATAATACAATTTCTTGTAAATCCTTAATGTAAGACAATGATGGGAAACCGGATTTTCCATCATGCTTTCTTGTACTTCACCGTTTTTTCTTCTCTGTCACGTATGCGTGATGACTGAGTCGCTTTCTTTCTTGAAAGTTATTAGTTTTGAGTAATACTCTTTTCCTATGTGATAAGTAGGTTGAAGTATGATTTTTTCAAAGAACTCGTTTCAAATATGATGGCTAAATTATCTTTCAGTAAATAGGTGATCTTGTCATTGGTAAGTGAATATTGAGTCTAGCTATTGAAAGGAGCTATCTCACATCTATTTGTTTTTCCTGATTGCTCTGGGAACCGAAGATTTCAAACTCACCAAGTTCCTTTTCTATCATCCAGTTATAAGGTGTTCCTGAATCCAAGCACCACTGATGTAGTCTGTACGACCACAGCTGAAGCACTCGCAATGGGGAAGTGGGTTGTCTGTGCCAATCATCCATCAAATGACTTCTTTAAGCAGTTTCCAAATTGCCGGACATATGACGACAGCAAAGGATTCGTGGATGCCACTCAAAAGGCACTGAGTGAAGAACCTGCCCAGATGACGGATGATCTAAGGTACGAGTTATCGTGGGAGGCCGCCACGGAACGGTTTCTGAAGGCTGCTCAGTTGGATCAGGCATCTGCGACTAAATTGTCCAGAACTACTTCCAACAACTTCATGTCCACTTCACTGAATTTCAAGAGGAAAATGGAAGACGCATCTGCATATTTGCACTATGTGGCTTCCGGCTACGAAATGTCACGACGAGCATTTGGTGCTATTCCTGGCAGCCTGCAACCAGATGAAGAGTTGCGTAAGGATCTTGGGTTGCCCCCGCCTCCTGGAAAGAGAGGCTCAAGAAGTTAATATGGTGAATACTATGATGAAATTCGGGAAAGATTGTCTGTACTGACTACTTTGAAATCCTGTGCTATCAATAAAATTGGTTTAGGGGTGTAAATAATACCAAAAGCATGTAAGAGCTATTCATTCTATATGATTCTAATCAAATTTTGTATTCCATTTGCAATGGATATGGAGGGATGGCCATAGACCTGTTAAAGAGTGTCGGTTCCTGCTTAGCCACTGTTGTCATTCTGAGCAGAACTTGCATCCAGTCCTAGTCTGGGGATGCATGATGCTTCTGTCTTGCATTTGCCATGATCCTGAGTCTCTTTTTCTCGGCTGATTAGACTTACAAGCCAAACTGTTACATAACCGACAACATAGATTTACAAAAACTTCCCCTGCCATATCCCCATGAGCTACCCGAGAATCGGTTTTTCTAATTGTCCTCTCTCTTCGATATCAAGAGGTCGTTCGATACAGCTTTTCCCGCAATAACTCTAGTTGTGAATAGGAGTGCTATGACTTTTATAATGTATTGGACAAATATTCGATAACCGCTGGACCATCTTTATAAAGCTCACAACAATTGTTCGAGCTTGGCGATTCCCGTGACAATGGTGTACCGGCTTCGATGCTCGACCGTTTGTTACTAGTAAATTAAAAGATTTTGCAAACTATGTGCATCAAGAAATCAAAGAAAAAATTGGAATAGTTTAGAATGAATTAGAAGATGAATAAAGGGTTAGCCTATATGATTGCATTCAGGCTAAATCGACCTTAAATATTGTAATTAGAGCGATAATTAAAATTATTACCTATATTCAACATATTATCACAGATAAAAAAGTAATCACCGTGGAGTCAAGTATACACCATTCCTTCATGTTTCCATTGTTTCTTCATAAAATGCTATTATGGACTCTCTCTCATGGCAACCAAAGCAATTGGGAAGGAAGGAAGGAAGGTAGGCGGCAAGAGACGGGCAGAAATCACTAGTTAGCTTCAGCCCATCTCCCTACGATTGCGTTCGACGGCCGCAATCGAAGAGGATTTGATGAATCCGATGAAGCAAACGGAGTTCGCGAGTGCAATGGAATTCGATCGTCTGCTCTCCGGTGGCTCGAGCTCTACCTTCCCGCCGCCATTTTTGGACCTTGGAGACGGAAATTGAGGTCTTCATCGCGAGCGTACGTCTCTCGGAACTTCGTCTTCTCGTTCTGTCAATGGATTTCATGCTCGCGATTGTCATTCACGGGCGTATCATAGCTTTCATCTGCTTATTGGTACGTGTATTGCATGCTGGATGCATCTCATTATCACCAGATGCTCCTAGTTCAAGTTGATGTTCTATAGAGATCTTCGGATGAGGTTTTCGCTGCTGCTGCTGGTGTGCGTGTGCGTGTGTTTTTCCCATTAGAGCTTTGGCTTGCACAGTCTCTGTGTTCTTTGATTTATCAATCGTTGGAAGAAGAGAGGAGGTTTTCACCGTCTTGGCGATTGAGAAACTGGAGAAGTTGTGTGGGCAAAGATGATGCTTCATGTGTTAGAGCCGTAGTTGCAGTATCAAAGACAAAGCCCACAAAAGTTTGACCGGGACAATTGATGTAAAAAGGCAGATTTCTCAAGCAACGTTATACTGGAAGTTAGGGTTCTCAGGTGAAGCTGAACTAGAAAGTGATCTGTAAATAAGGGAAGCTCATGCGTCCTTCTTGTCAAAATAATTTAAGCAGTCGTAATTTGCAATAGCGTGTTGTGAACATTGATCTATTCATGTAGTCATCCAAGTTTATGCTTTGGGAAGTTGTTTTGCAACTTGAATAATGTGCAATCTCTTTGAGCTTAGTCTCATGATCTTAGTTGTCAAAAGAAAAATCACAATATCTTCTCATGATCAGCATTTTGTGTGTTTGTTATTTACATTTTTCTTGTATTTGTTGCAGTGAAGTATTGAGTCCGTCCAGCGGAGATAAGAGAAATATGCTGGGAGACATTCTTTCCTTCCCTCTGGGAGAAGAGTGTGGGGAAGGAGAAGATAATGCTGCTATTACTGCTACAAATGGAATTTTATTTCCCCTTAAGCCTGTTAGTTCTTCAACCAGGCGTTATTGCAATTTTTCTTTCCAAAATGAGCCTGAGTTCTCCGGTCATATAGACTCGAGACTATATATTAACCTGTGCAGTCTCTGATGACAATGACATATCTCTCTACTGGGAGCCGAGACGGTTCTGATTCTGGTTGGTGTCACGAATTAAAATAAGGTAAGGAGAGGATCAGGCTTTTGTTACCTTTGAAAGATGTAATGATGGTTCAATAAAATCAATATTTGATCCTCAGATTATAGTTGTAGTTATTTTCTTTCCTGATCTGTCCAATTCCTTATGATGGTTGTTCAGCAGTCAGCACTACCACTGCTTCTTATGGAAGCCCTTCTCAGTTCTCGCTGCTTGGGTTTAGATTTCTCCTCTTGGTTGTGACAGGATTATAAGTTGACTTCGACTGAATTTGCAAAAAAAAAAAAAAAATGAATGAAGAAAAGATCCTTAAAACATTTGAGTGGTGAAAGGCTTGTTTATGCTCTCACTGTTTGCAAAATTGATGGACAAGGGTTAATTGGAGTTCCTTTGAAAATGTCAGATGATGACTGCCTTTGATTTTAGTCAGTCTCATGAACCTTTGATGCAGATCACAAATGAATTTGTTTATAGAGAACTTGGTCATGAGAATCATTGACTGGAATGGCTTGAAGAACCATCACATGTTGAGTGTTGATAATCATCTTTTCTAATGCTTGAGAGGTTAACAATACTTAAGGACTTGGAACAAGTTGAGATGGTACACATGATGAAGATTGGTATGTGATCCATGACTTTGGGTTGATAAGTAATTCTGTTTCGTTTCTTGTTGCTCCTAGTAACCATAGATGGACATGCTTTAGGTGTCTGTTTGATGGAATCAAAGTGCTGATTTTAAGTCCTTTTAGGTGTGGACTGGTGAATTTAGTGTTGCCTAAGATCTTTGGCTGGCAAACAATCTGCAACTAAGTTTTTTTTCAATTTTTCTAAAGCAAGACGCATCAGGAGCTCTCGCTTGATTGAGGAATAGCTGAAGTAGTGGAATATCTATTTGGAGTACATCATATAAGGTTGGAATACTTTTCTGGCATAATAAGAGGTCTACTTATGCTGCCTTCATGGGCAATTCAAACATATTGGAGCTTTCTATCGGGGCCTTTCTCTCAAGCAAAGTCAGCATTGAAGCTTTTCATCCCCCTTTTGGTCGGTATATTGGATAACTGGTCTTGCATGATCTGAAGCATAAAATGCTCTGTCTGAGGTTGGAAAAGTTTTAGGAAGCTCTTACATGGTTGTTACTTAATGGGCTTTTGTTATCATTATCAAGTTTGATGAGTTATATTTTGATTTAAATGTTTGGCTAGTAGAAGATTGTAAGGGATCCTCAGTGACATTATCGTGCCAAAATGGAATGTCTTCGTTGAAGTTTTATCTTTTCAGTTTGCATTTTCTCTGACTGTTGGTATGCATGGCTGCCACTTGTTTGGTTTGATGTTGGTGGTTTGTGTTGGATATCCGCATTTTCGCTCGTTTTTTCATGGGCTTTTCTAGCTGCCGCTGTCAAACCTCTTAATTAATCAAGGTAGTTCTATATATCTTCAGTTATTGTTCGCTTATCTTTCTTCTGGGAAAATTAAATATGAGCTTGGCCCCTTTTCTGTCCATTTTCTCCCGATTTCACCATATCAAGTTCAATGAAAATCTAATTAATACTGGAAATAAAATGGAAAATACGATGGATAAATTCTTTTTCCTTTAAAGGCATGTTTTGGGATACCATGTTTTGGGTTACCATTCACGACAGATGGAGAAAGAGGGAACACGTGGTCGCGAGGCATATATGATATTTAAGCGTTCCTCTAACAGTGCCTCGACATTTTCGAAAGAGGGGTGAAAATTCATCACAGAGGAAGTAGCGAAGAAGAAAGCTTTGACTGGTGGTAAAGGAAATCTGCTTTTTGCCTGGTATGGCTGATTCTCATAGATCTAGAATCATCCCTGATGGCTGGGTTTTTAAGCCGAAGGTCCGGCGTGGATCTGATGCTTCGGTAAACCTGTACCCTAATTCTATGCATTTTAATCTGTTTGTTCTCAATGATACCCTATTGACCATGGACATTCCTGATCGACCGCCATGTTCATTTATTAATATATTTTGCTTGCATGGATTGGCATGCAAAGGTCCCTCCTTGATCAATATTCTTTTGGTGAATGGTGTGTTTGGTCAGATCCATTGCTTTGTAGCCCGACCCCCGCAAAAAAAGAAGAAGATCTATTGCTTTTTAGAGCATGTTTATGCTTTTCAGCTATGCTTGAGTCTTCTTTTTCATGTAATGCATTCAGTTTGGTTTTCTGATTATTGAAACTTGAATTTATGCAATTTATGGAGTATTATTTCCATAAACCTAGATTTGTGTGAACTGATTCTTAGTTAAGCAAATTTTGTTGGAAAAGAAATATTTCCCTTGAAAGTGTCAAGGTCGTAAATAATTCATTTTTTGAGCAGAATGTGCCGGTGATGTGATTTCCTGTTGGCTGTTAAATTAGTGTGGGCAATACTTCCACAATAAAGTCAGTTGATCTTTTGCGAATCGAAGTCTCCTGAACACAATAGGATTTACATCGAAAATGTTTATTCAGTCATCAGCCTACTATTTAATTACATTTATTGAGACCTAAAAGCGAGACCTCAATTTTTTAGCTTACTCTATTCTGTTATGCTTTATTCGGTGCCAGTTAAATATGTGGTTACCTTATGTGTTTGAGTTTGAACTGCGGCCATGTATATCATAGTTCATAACGGGTGCTTTGTTGTGATTTATTGCACTGTACTAAATGTATACTGTTTTGTTGATTTAAATGAAGCTATAGCTGAGAATATGTTAGTAGTAATGCAGATATCCTAATGAGATCCTTCTAAATTCTAGTCATGATAGATCAGTGATTCAGTAATGTGAGTATCAAATTTTAACATTTTGAAGTCAATCATTTACTTTCCTATATAAGAATGAGTATGATGACATGCATGTGAACACACTGAAGACAGCAACTTTTTAAGAGTTTTGCCCTGGTTGCAGCTGACATACCAGAATGTAGATGATGGCATCTTATTGGAATATATCTAGGTCTAGTGACAAAAGGTCCCATAAGTTAATAATCAAGATATGCATTTGGAGGAATCAAGACAATATCGAAGACATTATGGAGAGAGTTTTCTTAAGTATTAACTCCTACAACCTAGCTTCAAATGAAGAGCAGAAAGTATGAGTGTATGCTTTAAGTTTTATTCTAATCAATTTTGCATATGTGTCACAGAAGATTCTGCTCCAGTCAATTGAGAATATCCATCAGAACTGTGCTTTTTGCAATCGCGGCAATGATAGATGCACTTTCTCCACTCGAGCTCACATCAGGCATTTTTGTCCTCACATAGTTCAAACCGCAAAGCGACTTATGACAACTTTCACAGCTTTCCTTTGTTTTTTTTCATAACCAAGGGGCACGGCTGCAGGAGCATGGCTATCTAGAGGCCCGTTGAACACCTCTTAAGCCCCACGAACTGTTTAAGTCTAGGCTGTTGCGTATTGAGGTGACAATTTGCACACAGTCGTTGGATTTGAATGGGTGGCCTACAGGGTTGGAGTAGTTGAATGAACTGGCATAATTGGCTCAATGAACTTCACCTAATTGCTTGCAATTAGGCTAGTTTAAATGATCATAGAGTTCTTGTAGTTAAAGGAAATAGACACGTGCATGTATTAGGGCTAGTCAAAATGCACAGTTTCTATTCCCCATGCTATAGAGTTTAGACAATCCCAGATTTGGGCTATTTATCTACATATCTTACTTTGTCCATGTAGTGAGTTATTTCATGGGCTCGAAATTTTGCTAACCTAAGGTATATTTCCTTTCCTTGTCATGGTAGAAAAGATTTTGCAGTTATGTTGTTATTTCTATTTTTCCATAGGACAGCTCTGGATGTACACAGCATATTACTTCTAACCAGTAGTTTGATGCACGTGAATATTGCTATGGAATTAATCAACTACACACTCAAGAAAGAAGCTTGTCAAGTTAGCTTCCTGTACCAATGTCCATATGGTGTTTCTTTAGCTCTTGGTGCTGCAATCACCCTTTTGTAATGCAATATTCTGTTGCAATTGTGGTTACTGTAGGCTTTTCCTAAACAATTGAAATGTGTTTTAAATTATTAAGAAAGTCTTCTTTTGGGTTTTTGAGAAATTGCAGTGTGCTTTCAGGATTATAAGTTTAATGAAATGACTCCTTAAATTTGACTTGGCTGTAATTAATTGCTTCTGCAATGAAGATGAATTCCATCAAATAACTTGTGTTAAACAATTGTAAAGTTGGGAAAACTTTTGTACATATAAGCTAGAACAGTAGAAGTTGCAAAAGTGCTCAGGTTGGGATCAACTTTCCAGCACTTTCGCTTCTTGTTGTTCTGTTTCTGCTTCGAAGGTTTGCCCCCTGGAGTGAATGGAACATGTTGGCATCAAAGGTCTCCAAACCTCATCTCATACTTTGGAGGCAAATGCCTCGTCCATTGGTCATTCAGTCGTTAACTTTTTGCTGTTTCTCACTCATTACCTTTGCAGTTTATTTGAATTGTTTTAGTGAAACTATTTTTAATGGAAGAAAGTTCTATATCTATGTCTCATCTGGTATTGCTCAAACTTGCTAATCTGCTTAATGTTTTCTCTATGACAGCATTACTTCTGTCCTGCCACAGGCCAAATCTTTTCAACTTATAAAGCCCTTATGCACTATGTGGAATATGCTAAAAAAGCTAAAGTTTCCATCTATGCGCCGGTGAGTATGGGGTTCTTATGCTACTCTCGCCCTTTCTTTTTTTCTTTTTTGGGGTTGCTTTAATCTGTGAGATGAGATGTTGCCTATCTGTTACATGGTGGAGCATAGGCCTCATTTATAAACATTCTTCTGTAGTTGAGGGGAAGGAGTACAAACAAGAACTCATATGATGTAAGACCATTCTGGATACTGCATCTTTGCTTTCTAGCCCGTTTAAATGCATAAGCTAGGAGTATAGGGCAAGATTCAGATAAATTTAAATATTAAAGGAATTTCTCTATTTGGTATATGTGTTGCTGAATGGTGTTGTTGGAGCTATGACTTTTTGGTAAATACACATTGTAGATTCTAAATTTTGATACATCATGGGTCATGGATCCAGTATGATTGCTTTGGAGACCCAATCAGCTGTTGAATGTTGCTCTAATTGGACTCACCTTTCTGCAATTATATCTATAAAATAAGTGTGAAAAGAAATCCCGGGGAGTGAATATGATCCTTGTGATTCTCAATGTATTTACGGACTGGATGATCAGTTTGCTTTCTTTATCCTCACTTGGCTATGTGATCTGGGAACACAGATGGGAAAAACTTAACAGAGAGGTTGTAGTGTACTAAAAATACCTCCTTGCAGACACCCACAGCTCCACACAAGCACCTCGTTGCAATGCATCTCCATTTTGTTATCGCTTATATCATCTTCTTCTCAACTTTTTTATCTGCAATTACTTAGCTCAACCACCATCAACTTGGAGCCACTTCGCAAGTTTTCTTTCCTATAGTAACTCTCCCATTACCGGCCGTGCATCTGATCTGACTATGATCTCAACAACCTTACACAAAATCAGTTCAACAATCAATAAAAGTTACTTCCATTAGAAACCTGGCCTCAGTCCCAGGCTTCCTCTGTGGATGGCCTTGCCAAATGGAGATGCCCTTTGGGTGCTAGAACATCTGTTTAACATTTGTTTCTTAACAAACTCGAGACTTTCTTTTCTTTATATTTTCCTCAACATCCAATTTTTTTTCTTATGCAAAAGTTTGTTGAACCAATGACATGGAGATGAGGTCAAAATGTTGCAGGACTTTGATGCTGATAAATCATCACGTAAGAGAAGAGGTCGCTCGCATACTAAGACCCAAGTTTGTAAGCCAGCAACTAGAGGAAAAGTTCCTAGAAAGGGGACAAGGGCTGCATCAACAGCTCTTGAGCAGCTTCCCTCAGGTCAGAGCTCAAAAACCATTTGCTGTCTTGAAGTGTAGATCTCTAATTTCAAAGTTTCTGAAAAGATATCACATGAAATTTATCAGATGTCGGTGAGATCACGGTTCTGAAGTCTGGAATAAGTGGAAAATTTCCTCCTAAAAGTTGGGAGGAAGCATGCCTGGCGGATTCAAAGGAGGTTTCCCCAGGTTAGAATATAGTATTTATGGGTGTCAATGAGATTGAAATTTCTGACCAAAAAAGTGACTGAAAAAGATTGTATGAAACTGATCAGCCGTTGGTCAGACCAAAGTTGCTCGCCAAAGGACAGAAGCTGGCTCAGCAGCTCTCAAGCAGCTTCCCTCAGGTTAGAGCTCAAAACCCATTTGCCATCTCAAATAGTAGATCTCTCATCTCAATGTTTCTGAAACGATGTCACATGGAATTTATCAGATGTTGGCCAGAACAAGGTTCTGAAGCTTGGAATAGGTGGAAAATTTCCTCCTAAAGGATGGAAGGAAGAATGCCGGGCAGATCCGGAGGAAGTTTTCCCAGGTTAGAAAATTGATATTGATGTGTGTCGATAAGACTGAAATTTTCGACCAAAAAAGTGACTGAAAAAGATTGTATGAAACTGATCAGCCGTCGGTCGGACCAAAGCTCCTTGCAAAAGGACAGAGACTGGCTCAGCAGCTCTCAAGCAGCTTCCCTCAGGTTAGAGCTCAAAACCCATTTGCTGTCTCAAACAGTATAGATCTTATCTCAATGTTTCTGAAAAGATGTCACATGAAATTTATCAGATGTTGGCCAGAACAAGGTTCTGAAGTTTGGAATAGGTGGAAAATTTCCTCCTAAAGGATGTAAGGAAGAATGCCCGGCGGATCCGGAGGAAGTTTTCCCAGGTTAGAAAATTGATATTGATGTGTGTCAATAAGATTGCAATTTTCGACCAAAAAAGTGACTGAAAATGATTGCCCAAAACTGATCAGCCGTCGACCGGACCAAGGTTTATCGCAAAAGGACAGGGGCTGGCTCAGCAGCTCTCAAGCAGCTTCCCTCAGGTTAGAGCTCAAAACCCATTTGCTGTCTCAAATAGTAGATCTCTTATCTCAATGTTTCTGAAAAGATGTCACATGAAATTTATCAGATGTTGGCCAGATCAAGGTTCTGAAGTTTGGAATAGGTGGAAATTTTCCTCCTAAAGGATGGAAGGAAGAATGCCCGGCGGATCCAGAGGAAGTTTTCCCAGGTTAGAAAATTGATATTGATGTGTGTCAATGAGATTGAAATTTTCGACCCAAAAAGTGACTGAAAACGATTGCCCAAAACTGATCAGCTGTCGATCGGACCAAGGTCTATCGCAAAAGGACAGGGGCTGGCTCAGCAGCTATCAAGCAGCTTCCCTCAGGTTAGAGCTCAAAAATATTTGCTGTCTTAAAGAGTAGATCTCTTATCTCAAAATTTATGAAAAGCTAACACATGAAATTTATCAGCTGTTGGTCAGATCAAGGTTCCGAAGTTTGGAATTAGTGAAAACATTCCCCTTAAAAGGCAGAAGGAAGCATACCCGTTGGATGCGAAGGAGCTTTCCCCAGGTTAGAAGTTAATATTATTGGGTGTCGATGAGATTGAATTTTCGACCAAAAAAGGTGACTGAATATGATTGTATGAACTTATCAGCCGTTAATCAGACCAAAGTCCCAACGGCAGCAATGAGAGCAGAACTTCCTCTGGAAAGGATGGAGGAAGCTTGTCTGCCAGATCTGAAGGAGCTTTCCCCAGGTTAGAGATTAAGATCTTTTGTTGCAGGTAAGATTAAAAAGCTAACCGAAAAAGTGACTGACAAAGGTTGTATAAAATTTATCAGGGGGCGATCACTCCAAAGACCTGAAGTTAGCATTGGGAGTAGAATATCCTGCCAAAAGGCTGAGGGAAGGTTATCTGCAGCTTTCCCCAGGTTTGAGATTAAAATTGATGGTAGTCGGTGAGATGAAATTCCTCATTCTAAAAGGGTTGTGTGAACTTTTTCAGCTGTAGATCAGACCAGCATTTGGAGAACGCCAACAAGAGAGAAAATTCCTCCTAGAAGGAAGAACTACGGCCCACCAGCTATAGAGCAGCTTTCCCTAGGCCAGAGCTCCATATTAGGGGCCATCAATGAGAGTAAGTGTCTGATCCAAAAAGTACTTCTAATTCGAAAATATCAGGTAAGATTTAGGAAGCTGTTATGAAGCAACCTCACTTGCCATAGCCGAACTTAGATCTTATGATCTTACTTTCACTCAAACTGTAAGTTCGTTGCTGGTTTTTGGCCTCGTAGTATTGAGTTAAGGACTTGGAATCTGGCGGTGATGAAATAATTCGTTTCATCAGTAGAATGCATGGTGACTAGCCATGTGCACCATGCGGCCATTGCAGGTTCAAGGATTATGTAAATGGAATCACACTTAATCTCGTTTACAGTATCCAACTTCTCAATGATAGAAGTGGGAAAAGGAGCTGCATTAGTATATATGTGTTGACAATGCCTTTGCAATTATATATGTTCACCATACCAATTCATTAATTCTATTTCCTATGGTATAAACCGCCACTGCAGGTGAGGTGAACATCGGCTCAATGGACATGACTCCAATGGGGGATTATGGTGGTGTTCAAGAGGATACTCCACTTGAAGGGGGCTCAAGGGAGACAAATTATGACTCGGCTTTTGAAGCAAATATTTTATCTTTCCAAGTTGGGTTTGAAGCAGGTGAGGAACCTACCATCTCTGCCATAGACAGTGGAATCCAATATTACATGGAACCGAGCAGGCCATACATAGAGCATCAATATCGCAGGAGAAATGAGAGAAACAAGATCGCTCGTCCAACTGTCGGGCAACTGAGGAAAAAGGCGACCTGAAGTTAACATCTCTATTAGTGTTTGCCGAGACTTTCGACCGCCCATCTCTTGGACTTGTTCAATAATAAGAGAAGAAACTCTATTAATGGGGACCATGTCATTTACCCTACCTGCTTTTTAACTTGTTCTATCAGACATAAGATTCTCCGGTGAAACTTTATGCTGTTCTGGAGCTTGGTTTGCTCCGGGTAGACTTATTTAAATTATCGACTATTTCGGATCCTAACTTCCAATTGGCTTGAAATTTCTGCATGCTACATATGAAGAATGATTCTGACGGGCAGAACAGGAATAGGCCCTTGGTAATTCGTTATTCCGGTTTTCTGGTGAAACATTTAGTTTCAATCTTGGGCAGCTTCATCGGTACCAATTGCTAAATCATTTAGCCCCGTTGTGGATCAACATTTTCCTCTTTCGAGCTTCTAATTCTTCTCTGTTTCATGTATGGCTGATGATTAGTAGCTTTGAGTTGCTCCTTGTTTGGCTTGTTCCGGCGATCAATACTAGTATAGACTTGATTGACGGGTGGCTTTGGACGGGTTTCGACTCGTAGAAAAAGCTCGGGGATTAATATGGAACCGTCTGTCCGGTAACGGGCTCTCGGTGAACTTGTTCAACATGCTGAAAGGCATTCTCCAAGCCCTCCTAAACTACGAGCGGGCTTGTCGGGCTCATCAGTTCTTTAGACCTGTGATCGCCTCTAACTTACTAGTTGTAGCTTTGTATATTTTGCTCAAACACATTCTTGAAGTGGAAACAAGCAGATGTAGCAGATGTTTATGAACTAATCCTGCCCGTCATACTCAAACCATCCAAATTTGGTTTTCTCTTATCATGCTCTAAGACTCCGTTTGTTTCTCTTATCATCCAAATTTCTAAAAAAACGATCGCTTGTATCGTTTGAAATAATTAGTTAATGGAAAATATTTTTATTATCTATAATAATTCATGTCTAAACATTTTCGTGAATGATGAAAATATTTTTCTTTTGGTCATTTTTCATAAAAGATACAAGCGATTGTTTTAGAAAAAACGTCTTTCAAATCATTCATTTTTTGCGAAATAAACGGAGTCTAAGTATCAAAAGTTGACTTGATTTAGAATAAGTTTTAGGGATTCTAAGGTCGATATTTTGTACTATAGAACTATATTTCAAACCCACGGTGAAGGTTAATCCTCTGCTGTTGGGTAAGAACATAAATCTACGATCCATCGTGCGATATCTTCGCCGCTCATTATCTCTCGCGGAACGAAAGATAACGAAACTACTCGAACATGCAGAAAAATTTAAGTTGTAGATAACTGTTTTCCACATGCATCTTTCTATTCCAAAATGCAAAACCAAAAAAGAATTTATTTAATATCAGACTTTTCACGCAAGAACTCCGTAATAAGCCCATCGCATGCTATAGATTGAGTAATGATAGTGCATTACTGAACGATAGAGATAATTAATTTTTGAAAAGATTACAAATGATATCGCATAAGTATCTCACGAGTTCTTAATTTGAATAATTATCGTAATCCTATAATAATCTAAATCTATATCTCGAGCTAATTCAAATCACACCTTTTCCCCTTTTATCCGTACAAATGCTGAGATCCACCCTCAAAACAATCCAAACCGAGTAATTTGTTAGATAACACGCGACATAATTAGAAAATTAATCTTGGAACTAGTAATTTCTTAGAACCAAAACGAGATGCAACTCAAAGGCTGCTGTCGTTTCATCACTCTCGGTATTTTATTTTTGGGCCCAATTTCCTTAAAAAAAAAATCTCAAGTTTATGTTCAATTCAATTCTGCACCAAATTTTTTTTATCTATAAAATATCCCCAAATTTCACTTTAATCTCAAATTGACCCACATGGCCAATAATCGCTGCTGATTTCTTTGAAATCATCAACATCACGGCGTTCATTAACTCGAGTTTTCATCAGCAACCCCCCCGGCCTTCGTCTGGAACACAAACATCTTCCCGATGTTGATAATCTCGAAGAAGCCGAACTTGGGATGAAAGTCGACAACCTTTTTCGAGATAAGGAATTGAAATTGGACCTAAAGTTCGAGATGCTTTTTCAGAGAATCGGCCAATTATTTTTGAATTATTATTAAATTTTCTTGAAGAAAGGGCGGTAAATATATATATATTTGTATATTTTATTTTCAACCCCCCTCACAAACTCTCCTTCAGCTTCAGTTCCCGCTAACTCTCTCTCTCTCTCTCCTTCTTCTCCTTCAACATAGAAGAAGAAGCAGAAGCCTGACCCTTCGCGTCAACCGCTCTGCTCACTTCCTCCACTCCCACCATCTCCCATCTCTCTCTCTCTCTCTGTGGAACCGTTACGCCATTCTCGCTGCCTTTCCCTGTAGAAAAGCGGCTGAATTGATTAAACGCTTCCCCTTCAGAGGAAATTTGCAGTAACTCTCTCCCTCCCTCTCTCTCTCTCTCCCCTTCCATGCACTCCTAACGTATCCGTTGATTTTGCCCCTCTCCTCCCTCCTCCTCCTCCTGTTCTCTTCATAAAGTTTCGGGGGGCTGGCGATGGCTTGCCGCTGAGCTCCGCATTGATGGACGATAAAGATCCGATTTTTAATCTCCCCCCGCGAAGGGTGAGGGTGGCGCTGGAGTGTGAGTTATTGGGTCGGCATTATTAACGACGCTGCTGCTGCTGCTTGCTTCATTCAGTTCTGCTCCGTCTCTCGCTTAAAGTTTTTTGTTTTTTTTGTTTTGTTTTGAGATCGGAAGAGTTGTGGGTCTGGAGTTCCTTTTTAATTCCCCGACAACATCGTTTATTTTTTTTATTTTTTATTTTTATGATCGTGTCGTTGTTGGGTATGAGATGATGGGGATGGCCTGCAGCTAATGAGTAATGATCATGGTGGAGATCAAGGAGTGCGGCCCCGACATTAGCTGCGTCCGCGGAATTCTCGATTCCGTCGCTCTCCCGCGGTTAGCAGCTCTGTTTCTCCCCCGCTCTCAGAAATTTAGAATTCCAGCATCATGAGATGAACATTTGCATGCGAATATCGGGGATGGATGTAATATGCGAATTCGAAGTTAGACGGTTGGTTTTCGGTCGTGTCTCAGCGTGCTTGTTTAGTTAGCTCCGCCTTTTTGTTGCGCCCGAAATTCGGTTAAATGAGATTTTTGGAATGCTGATCAGATTGGTTTTCTAGAATGGTATGTTCTAATGGTGCGGATAATCGAGTTTTTTTGCGTTATATGATCTTCTTTTCTATGCTAGAGACAAAATTCAATACCAATTCCTTCTATGTCGGGCTAGAATTCGTGATTGCCATTTTTCCTTTGAATGATCAACCATTGTAACTGCTTTTAGCTCTACTGTTCGCACTGTTTGGTTTCGAGGGCAGGACGAATGATAGACGAGATAGGATTTGCTAGCATTTATGTTTTGTATATATTCCTTGTGAGCAGTGCTTTAAATCACTTTGCTTAAAATTGTTTTAGGCTTAGCCATGGTGATATTGGAGAGAAATATACACTGCCTATGCTTTTAATTCCAAATTGTACATGATGATATCACAATTTTTTGGTCCAAGCTCAAGATAATATGACATGACTTATTGTCCAAGCAAACACTTTTTCGTCTCTGCCCGATTTTTGTTATTGTTTCTATTAGTTTAGGAGGAGAAACATATGAAAGAACAGTTAAGGAAAGTGGACTTGTTTTATTAGACCTCATCCTTTTGCATCCCGAGTCGAAAATTTTGTCTTACATTCAACATGGATGACAACTATCGATTATGCTCAACACAATTCTTAGCATGTTATACGAATCATTCAACATTAATTGCTTGGTCGATTCTCTATCTTTAGGAGGGAAACGGGACCCAGAAGGCGATCGACAATAGGAGGCTGGACAGAGGAGGAGGTTAGTAGTTAGATATTACCTTGTTCTTTTGTTCTTTGGGTGGCTTCTTTATTGCATATGGGGATGCATAATAAATTGATTGGTCTCCTCTCGGCAAGAATCACTTAGATTCTTAAGCGCAGAAATGGCAATGCAAATTTGAACTTTGATGGTAAAGCAATCTTTTTAGTGTCACATGCTTCTTAATTTTTCTTCTCTCTGTATCTTTTGCTGGCCCCATAGTGAACTGATGAAAAAGAGAAGGCTCGAATTGATGGTGTCTTGTCAGTGTCATGTTGAAACTTCATCTCTCATGTTGATGGTGGATTCGACAAATTGCATCCTTAACAGATTGGCATGTCTTTTCTCTTATCTGCAGGACAAAGTTTTAATAGCTGCTGTCCAGGAATACAATGGCAAGAGTTGGAAAAAGATCGGTAAGCTAATCTTCTCATTTCTGTTTAGTGATTTCCGAAGCACTCTTCTTTTGCCCCTCTGTATTCTTAATGATTGGTCACAAGTCAAAATCTTTGTCCCCGTTATATTCTCTCTCTTGCACTGAGCATTTAATGAAATGTATCCACCATAGCTGAAAGGGTACCGAATCGCAATGATGTTCAGTGCCTACATCGCTGGAAGAAGGTCCTCGATCCCGATCTTGTAAAAGGACCTTGGAGCAAGAAGGTGCGAGTAGAAATATCTCTTCATTTAGGATACAGTTTCCCCCTCAATTTCATAGAGATTCTCAAAGATTGATCTTTTGCTATTGACAGGAAGATGATCTTATTGTTGCACTTGTTTCAAAGAAGGGCGCAAGTAATTGGTCTGAAATTGCGAAACATTTGCCCGGTCGCATAGGCAAGCAATGTAGAGAAAGGTATTCGACAACTATGGCTAACTCTTCAGAAGTACAAACTTTTTTATGTTCAATTTATGGCCTCATTCTTAAGAACTTCACATGATTCCTTTAGCTAAACTTAGTTCTTTTGTGAGCTAAATAAAATCGCTCTCTCAGGTGGCATAACCATCTAAAGCCTGATATCAGGAGAACTGCATGGACCAAAGAAGAGGAACTGACACTTATTGAGGCTCACAAGGTGTATGGCAACAAGTGGGCTGAAATAGCCAAGTTACTAAAAGGAAGGTATGGCTTCAAAGCCTTTACGTGATGATGATACTAAGGCGTAGAAAACCAAGAGACGGCGAAATTACTTTCAACTTCTAGATTAGGCATTTCTTTGATTTCTAATGAATAATTCGAATAAGGCCAATTAAATAGCCAGTAAGCTTCTTTCAAAGCAACTAACCTAGTAGACAACTGCTCTTCATAAGCTAGAAATAATTGCGATTTTGTTCTAGTGATTGGTCCGAATCGGCATGAGATCAGTCACATTTTCTGCTTATTTGACTGCTGCACCTTTGTTGGATGGTGAAGAACCTCATTTTTGCTGTTAGTGAGGTTCATATCCTTCGCATGGTATATTAAAGCCCATACTCACAAATATTTGGCATTTTATTCCCTGTATGATTTGTTCACTTAAGTGTCTTTCTGTTTGCCTAATTGCAGGACTGAAAATATGATAAAAAATCACTGGAACTGTTCATTGAGAAAGAGAGTTGAACATCAACTCAGAAATCAGCACATGGGAAAACAGATTGATTTAAATTCTACAGTAGACGAAACTTGCAAATCTCCCAGAAATCAAGGAATCGATGTTCTGCATCTTCCATTTAGAGAAGTGCCCGAAAAGAGAGGCATCGGTACGCATGCATCAACTGGCAAAAGGTAAAAGAGTTTATTGATCATATATTTACTTGGAACCTCCAGATAATGTTAATCGACTATGGGTCAATGATGTGTTAAACAGATCTTCCGTGGATCTTGCAAAGTTGTCATATTCCCATGAGCAGCGCAACTCTAGTAATCCCGTGCACACAATTACAGGAGTTTTTCTGTCCATCTCTAAAACTCCTCCCAACAATTTCCAGTCTCCGGACCGCAGCATGAAACATTGTAAAATCCTAGATCGCAATAAATGTTCGACTTCTTGGAGTTTTCCGAGTGGTCATGTTGGAATCACGACGGGTCCATATTTCTCATGGACTCCACCAAGACAAGCCCAAGAATTATCTTTGAAAAGCTGCATTTCCGATCCTCCAAGACAAGTTCAAGAATTGTCTTTTGAAAGCTGCATTTCCGAATTAAAGAGTGCGGCAAAGAGTTTCAAAAACATCCCATCTATTATAAGGAAGCGGAAAGTTCAATCAACGAACGTCAGAGAACACGCGAGCGAGACAGTCAGCACCTCGGCCATTGGCGAAAACAAGGACGGTTTTAACAACATGTGCCAATTGGTTTGTGATACTGATGTTGCAAACAGCACTGAACAGAACATTCCTAAGCAACTTTTCCCGTCTCCTCCAAAGTCTCGGAAGCTTGGAACTTCGGCTATAGATTCGGTTGGAAAGAACCTAAAGAATGCATTTGATGCTGCTGCTGAAGCCACTGCCCCTGGTAGCTGATGAAACCCATATCTTGATTGGCGGACCCTGTAAATTCTGTATAGGGTAAGTGATCTATGACAATGTAATTCCTTTTATCTGATATTGCACTTTAGCTGTATGCATAAGAGAGTACAGGAGTGCCTAGCTTCTGTGGTTATCACATGATCTGTGCATTAATTTTGATATGTCACGGGAGATCATATACGCTTTACGGAAAGAAAACTTAAGCTGATTGTATTTTGTCCTAATGGATTCACGCATGTTTTGTGGAATAATTTCCATGCATAATCTCATACGTATCTTGCCTGTTAATGAGTTCACGCCATATAGGTGGCTGCTTAATGATTTTGTATTTACCTACTCAATTTTCTCCTCTCTTGCAGATTCGTTTTATCGACAGTACAGCAAAATTATTTGGTTCAACCCTCACAGGTCACAGTCTCTCTGGTCTGGACTATACATGCTGCCAATGGATTGACTGCTGCTTTTGCGATTATGGGTGTTGAGCGCTTATTTTTGGGAATAAATCGGATAATTTATGGGTTTCTTGCGCCCCATCTTGTGCAGAAATGCAAGTGTTTACTAGCATGCATAAAGATATTTGTATCTGGATTTTGACATTTGTTCCGATGATGCTTGAAATTTGTTACTGATTTTGTGCACTAACATTCACATCGCTGTCATGGTTGTTGGATCCCTTTTGGTTGTTCTTTTTTATTACCTACAGGGCCTCCGAGGCCTATCAGTTTGTTGTACAGTGACGGCGGGCTCTTCCTTGTTCTAACGTGCTATTGCTTGCACGCTTTGCGCTCCCTCCAAATCTTTTTGTTTCCTGGAAGAGTGGGAATACTCTCTTGTTGCTTTACATCTTGAGGATCCCAGGATAAAGTCTTTTAAGGACATGTTTAGGTCCCATGTTTTGTTAAATGATGAACAGCCAATTTATTTTCGAGTGGGAATCAGAAAGGTGGTCCAAAGCGCGAGCCTTGCAAACATGGCGTTGTTCTATTATTTTGTTATAGGATAAAACATTCTTTGACTCTCATGCTAATCGTCTAGATGATTTTGGCGGCCTTGGAAATCGGCGTTGTGCAAGTTGGCTTGGCTCCGGCGACGGTTTCCATCATCGCCGGTCGCCGGCATCGTTCCGATAATCAACCCCGTTATGAGAAACATCATCGGCTCGACCACTGAGGGAGTTGGAAGGGACTAATTTGTGGATCAAGAATTTTTTGAGTTCTTTTAGATGATTCTCTATACGCAGTTTTACATTATTTGATTAGCACATATGATGATAACTCTTTCTATTTCTTTGCATTTTCTTTTCATAGTCATTTTAACTAATGACATTCACCTTGTCGAGGAATTTCCCCTTTTCTAAAATTTTCAAAAATTCTTTTCCACAGTGCCACAATTAATTAGAAAGGATAATGACACAAATGATCTCTAAATTTTGACTAATTATATAATGCGGTTCATGAACTTTAAATTTGTTCAATGTGGTCCATGAACTTTAACTCAATGTGCAATATGATCCTTGAACTTTTAATTTATTCAAAATGGTCCCTGGAGGACTGTATGAAAATGTTCAATATTGTCCTTTCATTAATTTAAGTTTAGGGACAACATCGAATATCTTTGTACAGTTTGAGGACTGAATTGAACATGTACCAAAAGTTCAGACATCATATTAAATAAATTCAAAATTCAGGGACCGGATAAGCGCACATATCATTCGTTTCATTTACCCTAATTAGAACCGGAAGATAGAAGATTATTCAGCAAAAATTAATTCACAAAATCGGGCGGCACGTGCAACTATTTATGACGGTCGTTTCATAAAAAAGCTCCGACCAAAAAAGAAGGGGGAGACCGCAAAGCTCTTCGCGTTCCATTTGTATACGCAGGCCGTCGTTCTCTCTTTCATTTCTCAACAATGGCGACCGAGGCTCCGGCGAAGATCTCGCCGGACGTCCCTCGCGAGCACGTGGACGCGATGCTCGCCTTCTTCGAGAGGACCGGCGCCTCCGATACCATCCCGCCGCCGTACGCGGCTGCCGACGGCTACTCCGACCTCCTCTGCAGCTCCCTCAGAGCCGATCGAGTCCAGCGGGGCAAGGTCTCGTGCCTCCTCTCCGTCGGACCTCCTCTCCTGGTACTCTCCTTTCGCCTTACTCTCTTCGGTCGTCGTAACGATTGGATTCTGCTCGGATTGCGCGTCGATTGTTGTGATTGGCTCGGCTTCGTTATGCGTTGTTGCCTGGTTAGATGATTCGAGCATTGCGAGTTTTATCGGATACGTATGTTGAAATTGCTGGCACGGGAGGTTATGAGATTTCGTTTTGCTCCACAATTGGAAAGGAGATGGCTTTCTCTACTGTTCTAGAGCCGAAGTTTTGTGTCTCCGATGAACTGGACTTGTTTGGTTGCTTGCTATATTGCCTGTTCTGCTTCATTGATTTTTCATTTCTCTTGTGGAAATGAACTGTAATTTAACGCTGTTGATATAGAGGCATGACCGGCCTTAGTTAGATTTCGAATAACTTTGACGTGGTTCTGTGTCCGAATCTCCTGTGTCACAGTGTGACTATCTAAAACCAATTCGGCGCTTTTAGCCTGGGCAGAAATGCTAGTCTATGGCAGAGGTGCAGTATCGAAATAATAGATACTAAGCACAAGTTCATTTTAGATGGAATGAGAATGGTTCCACCGAGTTCGACACTAGCTAATGCTATGATTCCTCATTTTGCTCTGCGACTGAAAAGAAGCTACTAGCTTAAGTGATCGCAGAGCATGGGTAAATCTATTAGCTGGGGCTATGAATCTCTTATATTTTCCAAATGCATCGGTGGTTCGCTATTTCAGTCCTTCCCTCTCCTTTCAACAACTTCGTTGGTTCTCATGGTTTTTGTTGCAGAACACGTATGGTGGACTGCACGGGGGATCGGTTGCTGCCCTTGCAGAGAGAGTGGCAATTGGCTGCGCTAGAACAGTCATGCGTGAGGATAAAGAACTGTTTCTTGGCGAATTGAGCATTTCTTACCTCTCGTCCGCCCCTCAAAATGTATGTTTCTTTTCCCTCGTTGGTGATTTTCGATCGCCTTTTGATACTAATCTGCAACTTTGAATTTCTCCACTATTGACTGCGGACGAGTTTATGAAATTGATGCTTATAGGACTTGCAACTTGTCTTTTTTGTGTAGTCCGAGTTGGTCATTGATGCTTCAGTGGTGAGGACTGGAAGAAATGTGACTGTAGTTGAGGTCAATTTCAAATTGATAAAGTCTGAAAAGCTTGCCTTCACTACTCGAGCCACATTTTTTAATATGCCCCTTGCCAAGTTGTGAGAATCTGTAGCAAATTACAGGCAAAAAATGGAATATTGATAATAATCCTGCTGCTGCATCAAGCATCAATGGTATGCCATTGTGGTATGTCAATAATTTACTACTCTGCTAGTGCCATATTCTGGTATATGCCCTGCCATTTGACATTACAGGTTAATTTGTGTATTTTTCTAGCGGACATGTCTGATGGACTCTGCAATATTTTGCTTGAATAGCATTGATGCACTTGAGAGTGTAGAACCATCCTAGGAAGATGCATTGCATGTGGTTAGATGTGTCAACCTCTTCTGATGAAAAATAAATTCAGGTTCATAGAACTTCATGAATGACCAGGACCATCATTATTGATTTAAATAATAATTTGGAAGAGGTTTCTCAGATGTATCACTGCATGATCGTACAATGTGGATGATGATTGGAGTAAAAGCGTTATTATTGGATTTTTAGTTTGCTTTGCCCCCTTAATCTTTGTACTTGGGAACAAGTAATGTAGAAAGTAAACCATATTGTTTCTGTTAGAGGAGTATCTCGAGATGCCATTTGTTTCTTGTAAAGCTTGCAAGAGTGAGGATATACTTTCCATGTTATTATTGCTGTGTGTGCACACACACACACACACACACACACACACACACAAATAAGATTAATGTGGTGTGCAAGGCAATAGAATATTTTCACTGTCGTGGTATCAGAGCATCTAATGGTCCTGGAGCTGTGTCTTCATTTAAGATTTATTCATCGGCCCTCGCCATGTAAATCCTTCAGGCAGTGCAGCTTGTCTGTGGTTTCAGTTCTTATGGCTCAATAATCTTCTAGTCTACTTCTAGTTTTAATCCCTCTGCTATTCACATCACTGATTATGTCCATCAATACTTGATATGGGCAATTATTTGACTTGATCTAACCTTTCTTATCATATTTTAGAGATATTTGATGTGCAATTCATGTTGATCGCACTGCTCCTCCACCTAAAACTATTACTATTGATGGCATTAAGACAATTCTGAATCCCAACCGCATTTCTCGGCATCGACCTTTCAGTTTCACTTTTTGATAGTTTGGCTTTATTGGCTGTTGTATGTGTAAGTTAGCTCTGAACGGCGTAAATGAGTAGTGAAGTTCTGAGAGATTTGTTAGTGCTGATTACTTTCCCTTTGTCAGAGAATTGGAAATTTTAGGGATTTTGCCAACAATTGATCCTTTCTTGACGGATTATGCTGAGAATTATCCATCCTCAAGTATGCGATTCTAGGGAAATTTTAATGAAAGTGGTTTGTTGCATGAGATTATGCAAATCAAGATTGGTTTATTAGATTGATTTACGCTACGTGCAGGAAACCGTAAGTGGATATTTCAATATGTAGTTTGTGCTTAGCATTAAACAAGAGTATTCTCCGTTAGCTTGTGCAAAAATGTGAAGTATGCTTAGCTTGTTCCAAGAGTACCCTTTTGATGTTATGGAGAGGAGTATGCCTCTTGAGTTGACGTATGGCGCACCTTGTCAAATTTATTGTCGTATGGGATTTGCTTATCCTCTCCCCTGATCATCATATCCTTTGTTTTGCCGGAAAAAGAATTGAATTATCAAAAAGCCGGAGCGTGAAACAAGATCAAGTGAAATTATATCTTTTTTTTTATGAGGTTATTCAAATTCATATAATCAAATTAGAATAGTCAATGAAATCACTTACGATTTTAAATCAATCATTTTTTGCAAAATAAACGGAGCAATAATATCAGCATCATCTGTCCTATATGTGCCAAAAGAGATGGGATGGATTTCCTTTTACTCAGAGTTGGGCATAAACCTAAACAAATTGAAAAAAAGACCCATTTATGAACAAGAAAATCACATCGTGATTTGATTAGATCTCAATGAAATACATTTGATAGGTATAATAGGTTTTGCAGAGAGAAAGCGAACAATTGAAACTCATCTTTCTTGAAAGGTGGAAGGAAAACCCACTTTATCATCCCTATGGGATTCAATCGGGAAAAGTATAAAAAAATTCCTAAACCTTTTGTATTGGTGCCAATTTAGTTCCAAACCTTTTTTTTGTGCCAAGTCAGTCCTAAACCTTTTGCATTGGTGCCAATTTAGTCCTAAATCTTTTTTTGGTGCTAATTCAGTCTTAAACCTTTTGCATTTGTGCCAATTCTGTCCTAAACCTTTTTGTCTTTGTGCCAATTCAGTCCTTCTGGCCATATTTTGCTGACATGGACGCTGGCTGGTCACCGGCGCTAACGTGGACAACTTTTTAAAATATTTTAATATTTTTTTGAATATTTATTTATTCTTTTTTTTTCCCTCCTTCCTTCCTCCGGTCCAGCGATCGGCTAGAGGCTGGTGAGGCTCGCCCTCGCTAGGGACGGCGAAGGCGAGCCTCGCCATGGCTGGGCGAGGCACGACCTTGCTGGATCTGGCAAGGTTGTGCCTCGCCCAGCGGCCTCGAAGGCCTCTGGCGAGGGCTCGAGCCTCGCCGGCGGCTGGGCGAGGCCCGACCTCGACGGATCTGGCGAGGTCGAGCCTCGCCGGTCGCTGGGCGACGCACGACCTCGCCAGATCCGGCAAGGTCTAGCCTTGTCCAGCCATGGCGAGGCTCGCCTTCGCTGGCGAAGGCAAGCCTCACCAAGGGCCGGCAAGGTCGACCTCGCCGGCGATTGGGCAAGGCACGATCTGGATAGGTCCAGCCTTGCCCAGCTATGGCGAGGCTCGCCTTCGGCATCGCTGGCGAGGTTGTGCCAATGGCCAGCGAGGCCGATCGGCGGTCCGGTGACCGACTGGAGGAAGGAAGGAGGGGAGGGAAAAAAAAATTCAAAAAAAATTTAAAATATTATTAAAAGTTGTCCACGTCAGCACCGGTGATCGGCGGCCGGCGTCCATGTCAGCAAAATCTGGCAAAAATTGACCGAAAGGACTGAATTGATATAAAGACAAAAAGGTTTAGGACTGAATTGACACCAATACAAAAGGTTTAGGACTGAATTGGCACCAATGCAAAAGGTTTAAGATTGAATTGGCACCAAAAAAAGGTTTAGGACTAAATTGACACAAATGCAAAAGGTTTAGAACTGTTTTGGCACTTTCCCCGGATTCAATCCCGAGTTATTGGCAAATGGAACAATGCAATTATAGAAGTAAAATATTCTCGATTTATTGCTATTGCACTCTTCTTGCTAGTTCATATTGCACTTTTGCTTGCAATATACGTAAAAAGAATTAGTTAAAATAATTAATTTGAATCAAAACCGACTGCTTTTCCGAGTTAATGATTGAAGAAATAGCACAAATCAAAAGGATCTTCATCTCGCATCTTAAATGATATACTATTGTTCCTCCTCCAGCGAGAAATCGCTGATTACAAATACTGATGGTCTATATTCGATATAAAGGGCCAGAAATAGCTTGCATAAACACGACGGCAAGAGGAGATAATATGACAATCTGAAAACTAGAAAAACGAGTTAAAATGGATTGTCCCACGTAGGGGAATAGCAGAGTAATTAGCTATGTGCCAATGATGGATTCGCAGACCGATAAAAGTGTATTTCAATATACACATGGATACTGTCTAGGGTTCTAGGGTTTCGGTTTACAAATATATTCCGCTGCATTTTAACAACTGTGGAACCCTACGTCGAACCCCTACAAAAAGATGTTTGAAGAAATCTACCAAAATGCGAGGGAAAGCAATGATTCATTGTTTGTAAACCGTTATTCACCTTTCCAACTCCAGAAGCAGGGCTCTGGTCTTCAACGCGCATAGGCCATAAGCAATTCCTCGACCCCAGGGAAGGAAGTCTTTTCACATTCTATCGGTAGAATCTCAGTTGCATTTCCTGTGAATCTTGTCGATAGAGTCCCTTGTTTGGCCAGAGAAATTGATAAAGTCCCATGCTCAGCTTGAACCATCTGAAGTTACCGCAGTAGTGAGCAAGAGAAAAGGAAGCGACATGAGCTTCAACAAATTCTAGCGATATAAGACGAGAGAAGGCTACCTGTAATATAAGAAGCTATTGAGAATTTTCTGAGAGAGATTTGCTTAGAAAAGATGGAAGAGGGGTCAACCGTGATCAATGACCTATCTGTTTCTTTTCACGGACCCATCTGTTGCCTCAAATTGACCATTTGCAATTCCTTCATATAAAAAAGCGCCATACAGCTGTTTCTACCACTACTACCAACACCACCAAATGAAAAAGCGGCTATTCTATGTGATATTATAGGTGATCAAGCAAACAACCAAATGGTTCTCTTTAGCCTGACGGGAGTAGAGAGAAGGTATTGACCTGAAATACTTTCTCGATTGACCAAAAAAGAATGACGAGTAGAAGCATAGTATAGCAAGATGCAACTTTCAAATGCTAAAAGAAAAGCTTGCCTAAGACAGACATGGGAGCTGGCAACAACGACTGGATTAGCTAGTGACAGTGGCTAATTCAATTGGGAATTTTTCTGACGATAGAAAGTCAGGCTCTGGATGTGAAATAAAGTATGAAACCGGTATACATCATTTTGAAACAAGAATCAATGTAAAGATGATGGCCCCAGTTCAAAGGAATTGGTAGAGAAGAACCTAGCATTGCACGGCTCTAGTCAAACATTGGAAGTACGGGTAGCCCTTGTCTGATAATTACTCACCAACATTAAAACCTCATGCAAATATTGCATCAACAAAAGCGTCGGCATCAAAGGGTTGGAGATCTTCAACTCCTTCACCGACACCCACAAACTTTACAGGGATGCCCAGCTCATCAACCACACTGACCTGAAAACAGAGTGATTCTCATGCTAAAAACTATGGCATTTCTATTCGAAGAGGTAAAAGCCAGACAGGGTGAATCCATCGCAAAAAGCATTCAAAAGTTGATACCTACCACACAGCCACCTCTTGCAGAACCATCAAGTTTTGTCAAAATGAAACCTGTCACACCAACCACCTGCAAAAGTTCAGGATCAAAGTCATTAATACTGCCAGATGTTGACTGTTACACAAGCAACGATCAAAGGGACAAGCCAGGATTTTGAAATGGGATCGCTATTGACCTATTTGGGAATCTCCGGATCTACGCTTAGCAGTCTAAATCTCTAACAGAACCAAACAAATAACACACTATATCTCAGAATTCTACAGAAAACTCTATATCTAAACGGGGCTCTTGACTTTCAGCACTCCACTATATTAAAAGATAATACAAGCAAGAGCAGGAGTAGATGAAAAGACCCTTTGATTATCACCAAGCATTTCCTCACCACCTACCATCCATCACCACCAACAGGCCCTCAAAAAGTGACCAAAACTTAACGCTGACCTGTGACAATCAACAAGATATCCTAATAATTTCTATGGTTCCTCACTTTGAAACTTTCTTAGAAACTTTCAATTCATTAAAACATGATATACAATTAAGGGCTTTGAAGACACTTCTTCCATGTTATGTCCCTCATCTATTTCTCCCTCACATGTCATGTGAGGGAGAAAACAGATCTTTCAGAGATAAAAGTTATTAGTTTGAACTGGAGAAAAACTGTGATGGTTAAAAGACATTTCTCCCATTCTGTTTCTGTTAATTGCGTAACTTTGAGTCTAATCCACCACTGCCAGTACATTTAAGTGAGAAACAAGTATAGGTATTATTAAATTCAAAGATGAAAACGTGATATTACTTCATTGAATTCTCTCGCCTGTGGAAGCATATTCAATCCTGTTGTCCCATCCAGAACCAATAAAAGTTCCTGTGAAATTTGAAACAAGGTCTTCAGAAATTAGTCAATTACAAATAACCACAACAAGTGCCATTGTTAGGTCCAAAATATTGGAAAAGTTCATTCTTTTCGCTTTTAGAAAAGTGGCAGATGGATAAAGAAACTTGGAATAGACAAAATGAAGAGATTCCATATATAATAAGGTTTGCTCGTGACATGAAAAGATGAATTATACATTTGGTGCACCGGGAACCACTTTGGCAACAGCTTTCTTACATGCGATCAGCTCTTCCATCAAGCTGTAGTTAGTGTGCAGACCTGAACATGTAAAGCAGGCATCTCTCCTCAAATTATGCCAGATATAAGCTACACAAGAGACTGTTCCAAAAAAAGGCAAAGAAGTGATTGTGCTTACGTCCGGAAGTGTCACATAAGACAACATCAAATCCTTGTTCTTTCCCTCTTTTCACAGCCAGGGAGAGCACTATTCAGGAAGAACTTCTAAGATCATAGTCAGCATCATCAAACAAGTTTAAACCATATAAGAGAGAATAATTCCACTGGAGATGCAAATAAAACTACATTCGACTCTTTCACTCCAATCGTCTACCTGATGATGCTTTAGGCTTCTCTCCTTCGGCCACTACAATCTCACACCCAGTCCTCTCAGCCCAAATTTCAAGCTGATCACTAGCAGCTGCTCTGAAGGTGTCACCTGCCGCCATTAGTACCTAAGCCAATGTCCCATCATCAGGTGGTGCAGATGAAATATGAAAGAAATCTACAGCACAGCTCATCTAGAATGTTGTACGTGAATGATGTACTCCTTGATAGATAAATTACACTAAACTTTTAATCTAAGACATAAGGTTCGAGCATCTCAGAGAAATGTTCGTGCAGGGAGGCAATCACCTTTGCTCCTTCTCTCTTTAGTCTATGAGCCAGCTTTCCTGCAGGGAGGCAATCGAAGACATCAGCACTTTCTCATTTTTTATGAGAACAGCAGAAGCTAATGTATTTTATCTCTTGAAAGCAAAGAATGGTCAAGGTTAGTCCAGTGTAGAAGAAACGAACATAGCATCACAAGCACCAGAATGATAAAGAATGCACATGACAGAACAAGTCATAGTTAATTACATCCAATTTTTGCAAACAAACTTCCATTTCGATACATCTTATTCAACTTCCTCCTGGTTTCTACTGAAATTCTAGCAAGGAACCACACTACTTACCAAGAGAAGTTGTTTTCCCACCTCCATTAACACCAACAATCATTACCACAGCCGGTTTCCTGATGATAAGACATAACGAACATAAACAGCATATATTGTGGCGAGAAACAAACATTTAAGAAGTATCAAACCTGAAACCAAGTTGGAGTTCGGTTTTGCTCCCCTTTTTGGTTAACAACTCCAAAACACTCTTCTTCAACGCATCCTATGGTAATGGAACACGCAAGGAGCCAATTTGGATGTCAATCAACTTATAAATCAAGATTCCAAGTTTCAGAGAAGAATCCGATATACTACCAAGAACAAACGGAGCTCGTGAAAGAGCCAATTAAACTATAAAAAATCCAACTTGATGACAGCACTCACAAAAGAATCAACCGATTGTTTCAATCGGAGCTACCTTTATCTCAGCTCCCGATTTAAGCTTTCCCGCCAATATATCCTCGCGCAATCTATCCACAATCCTAATCGTAATTTTCGGACCAAAGTCGGCCACTAGCAGAGCCTGAAACCAATAGCAAAACGTAAAGAATACTGAACAAAACACTCTCCATAAGCGATACATGAAACAACAGTACTTCGACGCACAACAAAGGAATCGCACTACTTCAACGAAGCGCATAACCAAGCTGTACGAAGTCAATCCTTCCGTAACGGACTTCGAACTCTACAGAGAATCAAAAGGAAAGGACCTCTTCGAGTTCATCGAGGACGCGATCGGTGTCGGCGAGGTTCCAGTAAAGGAGGAGCTCATCGATGACCGCGAGGTTTTCTCTGGTCTTCGAGAATCCAGAAACTATCTTCTCGACGTCGCTCTTCGCCTTCTCCTTGATCAACCGGCCGAGCCGAGTGAAGAAGCCCGTCTGGCTGGCCGAGCACCTGAACCTAGAACCGGCCGGTCGAGAGAGCGAGGGCGCGGCGGAGGACCGGCTCGGCGGGAATTGGAAGCGGAGGCCAAGCGGCCGTGGCGGCGGCGGCGTCGGCGGTGGCGGCGAAGGCTTGGAGAGGAGCGAGAGGTGACTCGAAGGCGAAGGTGAAGCCATGGATGGTTCTCTTCTTGCTCTCGCAGCTCCGTGTTCGAAGACGATGATACGCGCAACGCACAAGTGTGGATAAACCGAGCAGGTGATACGCTGTCGTTTGGGCAAAATAAGCTGCAAAATGTTCTTTTTATCCTCTTTGATTTCTCCTTCTTCTTTTTTTTTTTTTAAGACAATCTCTTTCTTACTCTCTTCAAATCCAACCAATATTGACCAAGATTGATCCTGGAAAAATTAGATTTTAATCGTATTTCAAGAACATAGGGAGATTCATATACAATGTGAAAATAGCTAAGTCTTGGAGTAAAGTGTCGACAGATGGGGGTTGACTTAACCGACCAAAATGCCACGATTGGCTTAACCATCGATAGAGTGGAAATGATTAACCGTCTAAGTGTGGGAGCCGACGGTCTCGGAAGCAACCATCGGAGAGGCACCGTAATGGAGAAAATCGACACAACTGTCAAATAATAGAGCCAAAGATCCCATAAATGACTGGTGATGGCAATCGTGAAGGAGCAGAGCAAATCTAATTGTTGAGTAACTGCATCAGTTATTGTTGAGTAACCAGTTGTAGATAGGAGTTGCTGAATTGTAAGAGCCACCTAAAATGTGTTTGAATTCTTTGTAACTGTCGTTAGCTATAAATAGTAGGTATAAATGCATGAATTGTAGTTTGTAGAAATGACCGTTAATCAATCAAAGAACACCGGTTATTCACTTTTATCTTCTAGTTTATATTTACATTTCAGTACCTTTTACATGACTAGGTTCCGTCTCAATATCTACAAATCTCTCATCGTTTTGTTTTCTGTCTAAGAATCATTAAATGATCCTTTTAGACCCCCCCTTTGTGGATTTAGTCCATCCATTCGTATTTTGAAATATATTTCATCGATACTTTTCGGCAAAACAAGTGCAAAACAAAAATCCCCCAAATCACACTACATAACCAAGGTACATGCAATCCTCTTTCTTAGATTTTTATATGACACTAACCGTTATACTTATGTAGTTACTCATCGGACATATGTGAATGTTCTTATTTAATGATATTTATGTTAAGGTAAGGAAATAAACGTGCACACACTAAGATAGAAAATTCCCTGATCTAAACAAGGGTTAATATCATCAAACATCCCAAATTGGTACACCTGTGATAAATTTATCCAAAACTAATTTTTTTACCACAAAAAATCATAAACTGATACGTATGTGACAAATGAATGGTAAAACCTCAAATTGATACACCCGTCAGCTGCCATGTGTCATCCAATTCAGAAATTTATCGGTAAAATTTAATGGAGACTAAAGGAGAGTAAAATTGTAACAGGTATACCAGTTTGGGGTTTTTGGTAGTCAAAAAATTAATTATGAGTAAATTTGTCACAAGTGTACTAGTTTGGGATATTTCGTGGTATTAACCCTATAAATAATGTGTTTCTAATTTAATAGCCAGTTCATGTTTCATCCTTCGAGGTCCAAACACAGATCTGTATTGATAACTTGGTAATTGAATTGTGATCGTTCTCATTCACAATTTATATACTTTTTAAAGGGGAAAATTACCAAAAAATTTCTAAACTTATTGCAATCGTGTCGATCCAGTCCTAAACCTTTTTCATTGCCAATTGAAGTCATAAACCTTTTGTATTTGTACCAGTTTAGTCCATCTGTCAATTTGGGCCGGTCAAATTGATATGGACGCCGGTCGTCTTATGTGGCACAGCCGGCGACGCTGACGTTGACAATTTTTTATAATATTTTAATATTTTTGGAATTTTTATTTATTTATTTATGATTTTTTCTTTTGTTTCACTTTTTTTTTCTCCCCTTCTTCTTCCTCTAGCCAGTCTTCAGACCTCGGCGACTAGCCACAGGTCCTCGTCGGCCTCGCCCGCCCTTAGCAAGGCCAACCTTGCCCAGCAACGAAGAGGGTGTGGCGACGGCATGGCGAGGGCGAGGGCCTGGCGAGGGATTAGTAATCCATCATTTGGGAATTGCTCTCTCTCTCTCTCTCTCTCTCTCTCTCTCTCCTCTCTCTCTCTCTTTTCTCTCTTTTCTTCTCTCTCTCTCTCTCTCTCTCTTCTCTCTCTCCTCTCTCTCTCTCTCTCTCCATTTCGATTTGCTCTTGTTTGAATCAATCGTTTGAGGAATTGGTAATTGGATGTGACTATTTCTTCTTGATTGGGGCATCTGGAGTATGCCCTCGCCATCGCTGGGCGAGGTCGGTCTTACCATGGCTGGGTGAGGCTTGAACTTGCCAGATCTAGCGAGGCTCGTCCGCGCTAATGGCCGGCAGGGGTGAGTTTCGCCAAAGGCTGACGGGGTCGACCTTGCCAGCCCTCGCCTCTAGGCGATTGCCAAGGTCTGGCGACTAGCTAGAGGAAGAAGAAGGGAAGAAAAAAAAAAAAGAGAAAGAAAAGAAAAAAAGGAAAAATAAATAAAAATTCGAAAAAAATATATTAAACTATTATTAAAAATTGTTTACGTCAGCACCGGCTACGTCATGAACAGTCCATGTCAGCGCCGGTCGGTCACAATTGACCGTATGGACTGAATTGATACAAATACAAAAGGTTTATGACTCAATTGTAAAAAAAAAAAAAAGTTTAGGACCGAATTTGCACAATTACAATAAATTTATGACTTTTTTTAGTAATTTCCCCTTTTTTAACTAATTGTGAAAGAGTACTTACGAGTTAAGATTGCAACAGTATACACGAGAAGGTGCATCGTCGATGTGCCTTCCAAATACCGGACAAATTAGCTCAACTATCAAACAATTACAGAACATCCGAAGCTATTTTCCACATCTGATATCTTTTGTCAAACATGTGTTTCTCATTTAGCAGCTAGTTCATGTTTGAATCCTTCGATGTCCATACACAGATCCGTATTGACAACTCGGTAATCGAATTACGATTGTGCTCGTACACTTTGTCGTTGTTGCGAATTCCACGAAACATGAACGAGAACTTAAGATCGCGACACTATAAGCGAGAAATTGCGTCTTCGATGTGCCTTCTAGATGCCAGACAAATTAGCTCAACTATTAATCAAACAACTACAGAACATCCGAAGCAATTTTCCACATCTTATGTCCTGCATCTAGAGACGGAGTCCAGATGAAATGGACACTATGCATCAACTTGAGGACTCTGATCAGTGATCACGACTTGACAATGCGTCACTTCGTGAATATAATATGCCTTTGATCGCGGTGATCCGCGCAAAGACGACTTTGCAGAAAGACTTCGAGAGCCGCACTCAATTTGCCAGATATGATACGCAACGACGGACGGGAACAGCAGCTTCGCTAGCAATGTCTCCCGCGACTTGTGTTAAAGAGTCTTGCCACCAAAAATGTCCCGATCCAGCTCACCTCTTTTTGTCTGGTCGAAGGTGGAAAGCAAGTGACCGAGTCCCAAAGGGAGAGGAAGATGTCAGTATCTAGCAAATTGGGACATCATGTGACGTGATCCCAGTGACAAGGCCGTCATCGCCACGTTTTTCGTCACCCCCGTATGTTCGGATTTTCTAAAGGGCTCAGGATATTATAAATTTGTGACTTTTGCAGTTGACGTATGGTCGTCGGTTTGTCCTTAGTGGGAAGTCTTGCCATTCGTATTTCTTCGTGCTCGTTGACTCCTGTTGGCGCAAGTCTTGTTTTACGTGGCGGAATACTCCATTTATTGGTCGACACGTGGCAAGGTAGGTCGCACTCATCGACTACTCTGTCTCTTCTCTCTCACCATTACTTTCTCTCTTCCTCTCCGTGCTTCTCTTTTCTTCTTCATTCGAACAAAGAAGACTCGCCTCTATGGCCTCGCCGGCTACCACCGAAGGCGACTTCACCCACGGCCATGATGGTCTGGGCGAGGCCAACCTCGCCGACCGTGAGCGAGGCGGTCCTCACCAGTCGGGGCGAGGCCGCCTTCACTCGCGGCCACACACCAACCAATTGCTAACAATCATGGAGGCGTAGCGACACTCGCTTCGTAGTCATGGTGTTTGAGCTTTGAAGTCGTAGTTGGAGAGGGAGAAGCAAACGAAGTAACCGAGGAGAAAGGAGAAAGACTTTTTAAAATTTCTGATAGGTGAACTCACTTTCGACACGCGTCGCTCTCTCGAGGGTTCATCTTAGCGTTAATATCACGAAAAATCCCAAACTGGTACACCTGTGACAATTTTACTCAAAACTAATTTTTTAACCACAAAAAATCTTAAACTGGTACACCTATGACAGATTTACCCCAAACCAATTTTTTAACCACTAAAAATCCAAAACTGATAAATTTGTGACAAATTTGCCCTCCGTTAGTTTCCATTAAATTAGATTAATACAAAAAAAATAAAAAATTGGTACACCTATGACAAACAGAGGGTAAAACATAGAACTGACACATCAGTCAACTGCTGTGTGTCATTTAACAAAGCAATTTAACAGTAAAATTTTATGGAAACAAACCGATGGTAAATTTGTCACAAGTGTACCAGTTTGAGGCTTTTTTTAGTCAAAAAATTAGTTTGGGGTAAAATTATCACATGTGTACCAGTTTAGGTTTTTTCGTGGTATTAATCCTTCGTCTTAAAATCGACATGACATCACACCTCATGCATCACACCTCATGCAGATGACGTCACTGGCATTACGCACGAAGTGCCCTCGGCCACGTGTTGTGGAATATCACCGTAATTTAGCGATGTTGACCTAAGACAATGATTATTCGTGGGGCAATACAACTGCTTTATTTGCGTGAAAAAGAGAAAGCAGGTGGGACCGATCGCCTCGAGAGCAATTCTTTCTTTTGTTCTTAGTTAGTGCGACTTAGCCTCTGTAAAAGCAGGCGGGACCGATCGAAGTCGATCGTCCCTCTTAGCAATCCTCGTTGTTACCCAAATAGACAACACCAATGCTTAACAAAAATCCTCTCTTTTGGGTAATTATGTTTCGTTGAGATCATGTTTACATTTGGACATGTAGGCAACCCTTCAAAATTAGTGGACGTCAATTTGGTACTTTTGGCTTTTGATGATGCTGAAGGAGTTCTAACCCAAGAGTTCCAGTTATTAAACGAAGAAACGGACTTTTACAACTTACCAAATCTTGCTCCTTAGGTCATGTGCATCTCTTTGTCCAATGCCGGAACTCTATTATATGTTTTTCTTCCTTGACTTTTAAAGTGGTAGGATAGTCATCAATTGTTTGGATGGGAAACGGAACTTTGTTACGACATTTCGCCTAGTTCTTATATATAAGTCTAGAACTATTATTAAGATAAAAGCAGAAGCATCCGCTTGTAACTCTAGGCAATTAGTTTACACTATCTTGTGTTCACCTGGTTCACGCAATTTGAATATTCTACGCCTTTGGAAATGTTCATCGATTAATTTCGAGGCACGTGTAATTTCCAAGTGACTATAAGCCACAATCAACTTCCCAGTGATTTCGTTGCCATCAATTTCCTTTCCCCGTTTTGAAAAAATCCAGGAGCTAGTTTTCATCTCATTACTGTTTGTCCTAAATTGATATTTCTCGATTCTTTGAAAAAAAAACATTTTGATATAGACATATTATGATTGGGGATGTTTTACAACATTACTAGGAAAATTGCTAGGGCAAATGTTTATTCCAAGGAGGTATTTCGCTAACATATAATTAATTTACATAAGTATCACTAATATCATAATTCAGGGAGCTATTTTGCTAACATATAATTCATTATATAGAATAACAATATTGTCAAATTATTGTCCTCTAGTCCATACATTAGACTTGATTAGTTGATAGAAAACATCACGAGTCCAAAATTGGAAAAACATCCCCACTTATATCCCATCAAATTTAAGTAATTATCAAAGCAAGAACCTTTGAAATGATATAGAGAAAATTGTAAGAACCATCTCATCATAACATAATAATTATCGAAACATCTCTACTAGAATTCTAAGGCGATATCAAGGAAGTTACATGGACTCGGTTTTATTATATCTCAAATCTCTTATTGTAATTGTAAGTACTAAAAAATAAGTACTCTTGAGGTGATTTTGAAGAAATTGTGAAAACCTATTATATATATGAACATGATTTGACTGCATCTGTCATTTGTACTTAAATAAACGTATATATTTCCTAGTCCTGCTTCGTTGGATCCTGGTCTCCTCGTCGCAATCAAAGAACAGTCGTTCCATAAAAACATATATATCGTCGTCTCCTATACCGTCCTGTAAAAGCACACCCACTAGTTTCGTGAAAACGTCAGGCATGGCCAACACTCTCAATCGCAGATTAGAAGTCACCGTCATCTCCGGCGAAGACCTCCGCATCAATGACAGGCCCATCAAGAACAACGCCTTCGTCACCGTCAAGGCCGACTGCGGCTCCCCATGGTCGCACGACTCGACGAAACCCGACGACCAGGGGGAGAGCTACCCTTACTGGGACGAGAAGCTCCACGTGGACTTGCCCGCGGGCTCACGCCACCTCGTCGTGGAGGTCCTCCGGAGGAGCTCCTCGGCCGGAGACAGACCCGTCGGGACGGCGTGGATTCCAGTGTCTGACTTCATCTACACGAACTACGCGCGCTTCTTGAGTTACAGGCTGAGAGACGCCAAGGGCCTGCGCAACGGGATCATCAATATCTCAGTGAGGGTCGTCTCGTCGTCGTGTAAAGAGAGTTTGTCGTGTAAGGGGTGTTCGTCGAGTTCGTCGCCTTCGGTGCCAGAGTTCGGGATGCCGGCGGATCGAGAGAAGAACAGCGGGACGGTGACCGGCGTGCCGGTTTGGTATCCCGATGGATGGAAAACTTGAGAGAAACGTGTTACGGTTTGGTTCTGGTCATGAAAATGATCGTCGTTTTGGTGGAGAGAGAGAGAGAGACTTATTGATTTTGTAAGACTTATTACTTTGATGTCTTCGATCCCCATTTGACTGGTTCGATCTGGTAGAGAATGACTCTCCAATATGAGATTTGCCTTTGCGTTGCTCAAGTATTTCATGAGAGTCCATTTCATTCGTTAAGATAAATAGCAACATCAATGCTAGAATCAAAATAGACAGAATCGTAATAATACTTTAGTTTAGATTCTGCACGTATTACGAGCATCTGTTTTTCCCTCCCGTATTAACTCAAATCTTCAAATACTTTCTAGACCCATTTGAAACGTTTCTTCTTCATATGCCTGTTTTTTCTGTCTTTTTTACCTAGTAAAAAAGAGTGTAATTTGTGGGGAATTCCTGCCCTATAACCAAGTTGATCGCCCACAGAAAATATAGACTCCGTCAATTACGAGTGGAAATTGGAGGCACTTGTGTGAAGTCCAAAAGACAAAGTTGTCATCGACCTATTATGCAAAGTTACTTGTCAAACCCAAAAAAGAAAGAGCCTATTCTGAAAAAAGTCTTCACGGCTCACGGATTTGACTCTAAATTTACTTCAGTAAAAAAAGTGGCAAAGGGTGATGAATTTGGAATGCTTTAGTCCGTTAGTTACGTTCTGGTTGGGGTTCATCCGATACGAGATTGCGTTTGCATAGTTTAGTTGAACTGTTCTTTCTTTGGCCAACAAAAAAGGAAAATCATGAAGTAAACTATTCTCCCTAAACAAGTTTGAGAATAGTATATACCAAGAGTGATAGATTTGGAACAGTGCATCAAAACCATTGATAATGATTAATCTCCATGATCTTATTGTAGATTGTGTAATGTTTTTTTTCCCGTACTCGTATCTTTTAAGAATTTTCTCCAAGAAAGAGCACAAGTATTGTGGTCCATCACGTCATAACGCTAGTTAATTCAGTGTACTTAATTTTTTTTTTTCAATGTGATGGAACCATGTGGATCAATGTATTCTACTAGTTCCATGAATCGAATAACTTGTGAGTCAAAACTTAATCAAAGAGCCCAAATAATATAAGATGGTTCGCCTTAGTAATTCGGATGATTGAAGCGGTTTATAATCTCATGTATGAGTCCGTTTTCTTAATACAGTTAGCTAACTCATGGCCGTTCTCAAATAACTCTTGCGCCTTCCTTGGAATGCCCAGGAAAATAGACGAGTGCCTCGAATAAGATTGGTTCCATCTCATAAAAATAGTCGTGCGAATCCAAAATCTCAATGAGGCTTGTAAAAGCATTCAATCGCGATTCAGAACAAACTTTGCAACCCTATATCATTCCTTTCCTTTCCTTTCATGTCATTCATGACGTCGTGCTTTGATAAGATGTCTAAGCTGTGTCGGCCCTCGTTTGGACAAATATCCATTCCCATATTCTACTTAAAAAGATCAAGAGAAAAAAGGTTTTTCTTTGGGCGGTGCGTTCCTACACTCTCATGAAAGAAACATGAAACTTTCCCGACTTCGAGGAGGACCCGACACCCGTCAACATTGAGAAAGTCAAAGCATGTCCGACGTGTCACACACGTGTTCACCGAGTCCCGCTCCATGCGTTAACACGTGGCGGTCCTAGCTCTCTTATGCGGCCTGAAGTGTTCAATTTTGTTTTATAAAACAAAACAACATCACCAAATTCATTGTTAACGTTGGTTTCGCATGTTCAGAATGCGCCAAGTGTTCTGTGTCGTCGTTTTTCATAAGGTAGCACGTGGTGGCGCCGCATATGGACAGTAAAATTTTGCCGACCCACGTGGTCAACAATTTATGGAGGTGAAATCAAGGCGGTGCAAATGGACTTCGACTGATTTAGGTGTAGTCGGTGTGCGGAAATTCTTCTGTTTTTTCGAGAAAAGAAGCATGCGGTATAATTGATTGTTGACCCCTAAATTTTCTGTTTAAAGTCTTCGCACGCATTTCATAAGAACGGGATCAAATTTATCGATAGCGATAGAATATGATTTCTAAAATAAAAAGATTGATATTGCATACTTTTGCATTCGCATTTCATTTAGGTATTGTGTATATTTTTTATTTAGCAGTAACATGTTCGCATCGAATAAATTTCATTTAGATTGATCAAGTTGTCAATTGCATTCGAATTTTCAAGATCAAAACCCATGCGAGCTTGGAAACAATGGGACATTCAGCGAGTATATATTGAGTATATATTTTTGGCCAAAAGTAGAATAAAAGATGGGTGCCACATGTTCATCAAAATTTAGTCAAGTCTGAAAGCAAGAAAACGCACGTCCAAAAAAATCAAAGCAGCAAGCGAAGAAGCACTCGCACACAATATTCACGCACACTTGGAGGCAAGAATACTCGGTCAAGAAGGAATTTTGCAGAAGTTAACTTTGGAGAAGCCAAATAAAGAGGACTCACCCACAAAACGTGGAAAGAGAAGATTTTTCTTCTTGGAAAAGTTTCATATAAGAGTCTAAAGTAAATTTTGTGACATATAAGTGCTTGAAATGAGGACTTGAAGTGGCCATGGCAATTTCAAATAAGGGCCTGATTTTGCAGGTCATCGACCGACTAAATATTCTAATCGGTTAAGAGCATTTTCGTCCAAAAATAATTTTAATTTTAAATTATTAATTTTTCTTTATGGCGAGGATTGGCCCTCGCCGGCCGCTGGTGAGGCGACCCTAGCCCAGATTTGACGAGGGCCTGCCTCACTTATGGCCATCGAGGGCGACCCTCACCTAGCCTTCTCCGAACATGGCCCATGGCCGGCCTCGATCGGCCACCAGCGAAGAAGAAAGAAAAAACTAGAAAATGAAAAAAGAAAGAAAAAAGGAAAAAATAAAAAAAAGGGAAAAAAATTCGAAGAAAAAGGTGAAGAGCAAAAATACCTTTGATCATCCGGAAAGTCAGGCCTTTCTTTGAAACTAACATAATCATTTCGGACTCTTATTTAAAACAACCTCCACTTCAGACCCTTATATGAGAAAATTAGAGCACTTTGCGCCATTATTTGAAATAAGGTTCATTTCATGCCATTGTTTGATAAAATGAGGGCACTTCAAGCTTTTATTTAAAATTTTTCCTTTTTTTTTGGGTTAAAATGAAAGCCTTCATTTCTGCAACTGAGGGTCTGTTTAGTAACGTTTCTGTTTCTTTATTTTTCTGTTCTTTTGTTCCCCGGAACAGAAAAAGAATAGAAATCCGTTTAGTAAAAAAAATCTATTTTTTTTGTTTCTGGAACAAAAAAGTGTTCCAGAAATAGATTTGGAACAGAAACAAGAAGCAAAAAAAATCTGCTTCTTGTTTCTGGAACAAGAAAAAAGAAACGATTTTTTTTCTAGAATTCTCCAAAAATAAGAAACAATCCATCGGCCGCAACTCGCCCACCGCCGCCTGTCGCCGTCCTTCGCCGCCACCTACCGCCTGCCTTCCGCCGCAGCCGCCCGCCGGCCAATGCTCGCCGGCCGCCTCCCGCCCGCTGGCCGCCTCTTGTTGTCGACTATTGTTCTCCGCCACTCGACGCTTGTCGCCACCCTCCACCGGCCGCCGTCCTCCACCGCTGGCCGCCGTGCTCCATCGCCCGACGCAGACCGCCACTCGGCGCTAGCCGCCTCCCCCCGCCAACCACCCGACGCCGGCGATCACCCACCACCGGTCGCCGTCCTCCGCCGCCGCCGGCCACCCACCACCGGCCGCCATCCTCCGCCGCCGGCCATTGTGCTCCACCGCCCGACGCCGGCCACCACCCGGTGCTGGCTGCCCTCGGCCACCGGCCACCTCCCGCCTCTGGCCACCCGACGCCGACGGTCACCCACCATCGGCCGCCATCCTTCGCCATCGGCCGTCGTGCTCCATCGACCGACGATGGCGGCCCTCCGCCGCCAACCACCTCCCGCCGCCGCCCCCCGTTGCCATCACCGCCGCCCGACGCCACCGTGCTCCGCCGCTAACCGCCGTGCTCCACTGCCTCCCACCGCCGGCCGCCATCCTCTGCCGCCGCCGACCACCGTCCTCCGCCCCCCACTGCCACCCGCCGTCCTTCGCCGGTAGCCCAGAAGGGAGAAACTCGTCCATGGAATAGAAATGGATCATTCGCGCCCTAAACGCGTTTTTATTCTTTTTCTATTCCAGGAATAGAAATTTTGTGCAGTTACTAAATGCTATTTTTTTCTCAGAAACTGTTCCAAAAAAATAGAAATAGAAAAAACTATTTCTGATCAAAAATTATTTCTGGGAACAGAATCGTTGCTATGCAGACTCTAAGCGGCCCAGTTTGCAGGTGATTGGCCTTGCAGTAACAGTGGACAACTTGGGCTTTATAGAAATGGGGCCAGTCTTGATATGCACTCCTGAATATGGCCCCCTTAGCTCCCATCGATGCTTAAATACATATCTGCAAGGGAGCTTACCAGCAACAAGCGATCTGACTCGAAGCTCACCTGTGCAGATCAATTTGATCTTCAAAGCACTTCAGCAACTCGAGCAGTGCTGCTGGGGCTTTCAACTTGGATTGCAGAGGACGCACGAACGCGGCGAGTAAAGCCATTGACCAAGCTCCCCGAAGAATCGCGACAAATACATGCAATTGGACTTTCCATTGTCCCTTCGACAAATGATCCATCGATATTTATCTTCAGGGGGCCTCTCTTTGATGGACTCCACACAGCCGGTAAGTCGCCTCACTCTTCCGCTGAGGTTTTCTCCTTTGGGTACTTTTTTGGAAGTATTTGGTTTTCAGCAAAAGGGTTTTAACTAGGGTGAGCAAAATGAACCACCCGGATTGAATTGGACTGGCCGGTCCTGGGTGGTTCCCAAGAGCATCGATCGAGTTCTCAGTTCAAAAAAATTAAAATCAGTGATTTTCGGTTCGATTTCATATGTGAAACCGCCTACCCGGATCAAACTAAAAATATTTGTTTAGCGCATGCACCACTTTTCTCAATCTCCACAAAATCACCAAAAAGCAAAAGGCAAAAGGCAAAAGACAAACATTAAATAATAAAATATTAAAGAAAATAAAGAAGCACAGGAAAAGCATCTGTCTCTCCATCTTTTCCTTTCATCCTAGTCACATGCACTAGGCAGTTCAATCATTTTCTCGCTTTTGCCTCTCTCTTATTACTATTAAT